GACGAATTCGTGTGCTGTATGCATCGTTGGATCGACAGTTGCTTGAACTCGTGCAACACATTCGAAAAGAGCGGAAAGACCTAATAGGATGTAAAAAATCCGATACGGTTTGCAAATTTTACGAGCAGACGTAACGTCACGAATTACCCTATGGTAATTGGTTCCTCTTGCAGGAACAACAGAATCTTAGTTTATCGTTCGTACTCGTTTACTTAAATGCCACGCACCGAGTACTTTAATAAATAACTATACTGCATGCAACCTAAATCTCATCCTTTCTCATTTTTTCCCAAGAATATTGGAAAATTTCACGATTCTCAAAAACCAGTCTGATTAACTTCAAAATAAATTACTTAAAATGTACTTGTGTCTTAATACTCTCACTGTTTATTATTTCAAGCAGAAGCACTTGATATATGTATTCTATTTCAGTGCATATTCTAATCGTGAGATTATTTATGTCGGGCATTACGTAACATCGACAGCAGCAAAGAAAACTGTCATTTCTTTATTTTTCCAACAAGGAGGTAATAAGTAGGTTTTATTTAAATCTTAAATTCTATTTTTTCTTCTTCGCTTCATTAATTACCTACATGTTGTACTTTTCTCTCTTCTTCTTAGCCACGTAATTATATATCGATTACTCTAGCTTCCCTTGTATTGTTGTAAAATGAAGTCATGTTTCTTCTAAATGTTACTGAATACGCGTCAAAAATAAAATGAAACGTTTAAACGTGTGGTTTAGTGAAACTATATTATTTTCCATTTCGAATTTACGTCCTACAAGCAGTTATTACTGCACTTGTACACAGTGTTTATTTGCACTCTTTTGATATTGTTTGAAACGCGTGATACATCGCTGTTGTTAGTAATTAATTCTACACAAAATATTGATAAATTGATTGTGTATTTATTGTTACATTAGTCATGATTACATAAATTGATTTGTAAATATATAGAAAAAGGACACTTTGACTGCATTTATACAGGGTGAACCAAGCAAATGTGTGACAACTGTAACTTTGTTATCAGTACATTTAGAGAAAAATCTTAAAGTAAAAATACGAAATAACAAGTAAAAACATTTTACAATAATAATAATAGATTATTATTAATAACGCCTATGCTAGAATTTTATGTATTTCACTACTCGCAACATTGGCATGGAAACAAAAACATATTTTTCCTTTATCGATGCACAAATAGCTCGTATAAGCGATTAATTCTGCTCCCAAGAGTATAAAACTCGTGTCCAGCTCCATTAGTATAGAAAAACGTGGCGTTCTTCATGATAGACGATCCCTCAGGAGGTATTTTTCACTGGGATGGATATCAGAACGTAAATAATTTAAACAAAGCCGTCGTCGAGTACAATACTTCCAACTGGTAATTCGATACTTGAAACATGTACCATTCAGTATCTTTAAGGGGTTGTTCTAGTTTAAGCAATTCAACAAAAGATTTTATTTTTAGAATCTTTGGAATACTCATAAATATTCTACAAATAGATTCTTCTAAATTAAAAGTATTCATGGAAGTACGGGAGCTTTTATTAAACAGTATACAAAGCATATTCCGGGTTGCATGTCCTAAAATATGCCAATTATATCGACGACAGAAACACAAAAAGGTTTAAGGTTGTTCTCGACTTGGCTCCCTACACTGTAAGCAAATTAAAATGCAAGCATTCCCTTTAGATGCAAGAGTCAGATGGGACACCCTCTACTTCTTGGTCACTATGGAAAGTCGAACGATTATGCCTGCCTTCAGCCACGTTTACAAGCATCCTCACAATAGACACCTTCGACGAAGAATGGAAGTAGACGAAATCTTCCATGCAAATTATTCTGATTGAATCGGTCGTTCTGGAACCCCAAAACTGACAAAACGACCATTAACGACACATTCGATACCGAACAACGCGACGATCTCTTTAATCGACTGAATTTCAATTTTCAAAGAGCCACGATTACCATGAAAGAGAATTTCTCCAGTTTGACGTCGATTTTAGGATACGGGACTCCGGGAGGATGCGTCTCGAAACCCTTGCGTATAAATTCGGACAATGATCTACTAATGAATTGTACAGAAATCCACACAATGCATACCTTAATAGGTGGAAGCGAAGAGGCCAGGGTTTTTGTCGTGCTAATAGCATTGATACCGCACCCCTGTTTGTTTTTCTTCGAAAACTACCGCAGACCCACGTAAATAGCGCCTTTTCCGCGGGAACATTTTCCTCTTGACATTTTTTAACAATAAATGTTGCCTATTCGATTGAAACAATATACGTAATTATTTCCAAATAAAGATAAGACATTTAATCGAATTTGTAGAAGTATATATGGCATAGATTTCAGTTTCACATAGTACCAAATAGTATTGAATGGAAAATATAAACATGTAAGTTTAAAAATATAACAATACTAAATATATCTAAATAGTGGAGTTTACTTTACTTTATTTAAATCATAGGCAATGGAAAATGAAATGTTATCACGTACACAATATATTTCAATGTAACACATGAAGGTTCAATCTTTGTGTAAATTTTTGTTCATACATCTGACATTGCATCAAATTGATATGCATTATCAGAATATCATTTTCTGTGAACTACATTTCAGGTAAAATAAACTAAAATATATTCATTTAGAATAATACCATACAAACACAATTTATTTATACGAACTTATTCTTATTACAAAAATGAATTTAATATTATGCTAAATGGAAGTACAGTACATATGTATACATGTATAAAATAATGTTTGTACGTAAGATATAATTTTCTATGAACCATGTCTTAGAGTAAAGTAATATATTTCAATTTAAAATAATACCATTCATATAAATTTATTTATCTTTCGTTTAGACTAACTGAGCATTCTTGGAATGTATGTATTCAAGATAGAGCGTCAACAAGGAAGCGCAAGTTTTAGAATAATTTCAGCTCGCTGTGAAGTAAAAACAGCAGGTGGGCTGTGCCTTCGAAGACTGCGAAAAAAATGTGTAGCGACGAACTTTCACCGGGTAATGAGACGTTAATGTAACGAATGACACACCGATTTCAAGCTTTAACTTAACGAGAAATCATGTTGGCAGCGTTGAGCATTCATCTTAGAACGATCATTTATTAATTAACTGTACACTCGCCCGGACTTTCCCTGAGAGGCACTTAACTGACAAAAAGAAAAAACCAACACAACTAAGACTGTTTATTGCGGTTGCTCTGGAACGATGTAGCTCCCATAATTCGAGAGCTTATGGTCTGGTTGCAATTGTTTAGGTGAAACAAGAGGAAGTTTAATCGCTAACAGGTAAGTATATAATAATCGCTAAAAATTGTTGTACTTGTTGTTTCTTTGTTTTAAATTCAATTATTCAGAGAGGAGTTATTTTCTTTTGGTGTCAAACAATTGATTCCTTTGTCCAACATATTTTTGATTTTTAATTTAATATTTGAGAAATATATTAACTAATTTATATAATAAATATACAATACTATTAGAAATGTATTAATGATACAGTGGGTGTAGAAAGTATTTGTACACCGATCAATTTCCAAAAAAACTATGTAAAATTGTAATTTATTAACTTATTTTTTATAAACAATGACATTCTACATATTCTCGGAAATCTTTAGAATAGATATTTTACAAAATATAGCTATTTATGTAAGTTGCGAAATTAACAAAAAAAAAAACGATTAATCGATAGAAATGTTGAAGCAATAAATATTCGCACAAATGATTAATTTTTAAAACTTGATTAAAAAAAAAAAGAAATTTACATTAATTTACAAGTATATAATACTTCCTTCGTGGGATTTCCTTTTGATTTTATAATCATTATGACTCTTGTAAGCATTAAATTAACTAAATTATTAGTTATTCAAAGTGGGATCTTTTTCAATTTCTCTATTACAACCTTTTTTAAAATTTTAATTTTAATTCGTACGAAACAATACACTAATGTCTTTACGTTACTAACTCTACTGTAAATGGTTCGTCATAAGAATCGTACAAATACTTATTGCTTCTATACTTTTACCTACTTTTCGCACTTTTTTTGTTAATTTCACAAATTATATTAACTAGTAAATGTTATTTGGACCATATCTATCTTAGAGACTTCCGAGAATATGTAAATAATCATTGATTATATAAAAAAGAAGTTAAGAAACTACAATTTTACAGTAAAGTTTTTTGGGAAATTGATATATTATTAAATTTTAATACAATAAAAATATATTTCTTAAATATTGAATTAAAATTAAAATTAAAATTAAATTAAAATGCGTATGCTGTATGCAAACGTTATTCCAGAGATTTGTAAGTTGGAATATTGTACGAAACCAAACCTTTAGGCATTCCTGGAAGTGAGTGGTTCAAGACATGGAGAGAAAAATGAACGAATAGTAAAAGGCATCGTCACTGTTACGAAGCGCAATCAGCTACTAAGTACCACGAATACGGGAACTCGGAAGGGTAACGGTGGCGCATAAACCTCGGTTATGGCATGAAATAAGCTCAAGTATAATCCAGGTATGGTCAAGACTCTCAAAGCCACGAATTTCGCGGGAAGATACCAGCTACAATTGGAAAAGTAATCGGATTCTTCGAAAAAGACGCACCGAAACGGGAGTCTGTAATAAAACGGGGCATTGATTTTCAATCCTGACTTTCATTGTCACGTTGATCACCCGTAGATGGTTGTCAGTACTTTTCACAGAAAAACTAATAAAATTAATTCTGAATGTTAAGCGTCAAAGAAAATAAATTTGAATGAAATCCTTGAACTTCGATAAAGTTGCAAAAATAAATATCACGATTAATATGTAATTATGTAGCTTCCAATAGGCTGTAAACAAAATTTAAACACAGAAATTTTTAAGAATATTAGCCTGGCAGTCAACGTGATTCAGCCATCGTTATATGAAGAATTTTATCAAAAGGAGCATTAAGATTTTGTTTTTGAATAATAAAATACACCTGTCAAAACAGCATACAATAATATTTAATTCATTACATAATTAAAATTCTACAGACAGATTTTCCATGAAAGATGATAAATCAAACATGTCCGCGGTACTCAATAGTTTTCTCGCACACGCTTGTTCGTTCAAGTTCGTTGCAGCAGCTTTCAACTTGTTCATCCATTCGGTAGAATCGTTTTCATTTATGGTGCATATAATAATTTCATTCACTTCATCTTGCATAGAGTAACACGCCATACATTTGAACACAGATTTCAAATCGCTCTTCACTTTCTTCTTGATGCTTTCATCCCGACAGACTAAATTTAAAATAAAGACGCCGTCGTCTGTCAAACATTCCAAAACTGATCTTATTATAGTCATTTCTAGAAATTGTTTGGGTGGACAGCTTATTCCGACGGTAGTGTCTTTACTGTCTACGTCGAAGAGGATAGCTTTATATTTTTGTCCTTTCTCTGCACTATCTTTAATGAAACGAATTCCATCTGATATTTCAACCTTCATTCTATTGTCAAGAATGAGACCAAAGTAGTCAGTTGCAACCTTTAGCATCATTTCGTCAATTTCAACCGCAATAATTTTCAGCTGCAAGAATGTAAACATGAATTTTGTACAATATTTTTATAATATTTTTGATGCTGGCAGTAATCAAAATTTAGTGGTGCATACTTTAGGAAAACAGTTGTAAAGAAACGTGCATAAACTTCCTCCGCCTAGTCCAACGATCATGATTTCGTCAGATTCTTTAGTATTTATAACAGAACTGACGCCGATACTCATGTACAAATGGTGATTGCAAGCTAGGAAACCAGAATCGATAACTTTCTTCATTTTACCTCGTCTCGATTTAGCTGGAAAAAAATCACTCATGAGGGGTCTGCGTATGTTTATATAAATTCGTATTCTCACAGATCCAGAACTAAAAATTGAAACTTGATTAAATTAAATTCTAAAAGGTACAACATGTACAATTCAGGTTTGAAGGTACGCTAAAATTGTTGCAGAAAATCATTTTATAATATTAATAACATAAAATCAATTTTATTTTTACCTTTACTACGTGGATAAGAATAAATATGTTTTTTTTTTTATTTATTGCGCAATCTAACTGAAACTGCTAAATAAACTTTAAATATTTATATATTATGATATATATATGTACATATTTAAAAATATTTGTTTGGAAACATGAAACCCGTCATTTAATTTATAAACATTTTTTCAATGTACATAGAGCGTACGAGTACTTATGGAACTGACTGTATATTACTGTCGGTATTTTATGAATGTTTGCATTTGTGCGCATGTATTCTTATACAGTGGGTGTAGAATGTATTCGTACACTGGTAAATTTCCCAAAAAACTTTTGTGTCAAATAGTAGCTTCTTAACGTCTTTTTTTATAATCAATGATATTTTACATATCCTCGGAAGTCTCTAAGATGGATATAGTCCAAACAACATTTACTAGTTAATATAATTTGTGAAATTAATAAGTATTTGTACGATTCTTATGACGAACCATTTACAGTAGAGTTTGTAACGTAAACACATTAGTTTATTGCTCCGTACGAATTAAAAAACATCAAATTTCCAGTAAAGTACTTTTAAAAATGGCTCTAATAGAAAAAGATCCCACTTCGAATAACTAATAATTTAGTTAATTTAATGTTTAGAAAAGTTACAATAATTATAAAATCAAAAGGAAATCCCACGAAGGAAGTATTATGTACTTCTAAATTAATGTAAATTTCTTTTTTTTTTAAGCAAGTGTTAAAAATTAAACATTTGTGCGAATATTTATTGCTTCAACATTTCTATCGATTAATCGTTTTTTTTTTGTTAATTTCGCAACTTACATAAATAGCTATATTTTGTAAAATATCTATTCTAGAGATTTCCGAGAATATGTAGAATGTCATTGTTTATAAAAAATAAGTTAATAAATTACAATTTTACATAGTTTTTTTGGAAATTGATCGGTGTACGAAAACTTTCTACACCCACTGTAGATTCACCCCTATTTCATAGTGTCTACTTATGAGTTAAAAGCATTATTCGGATAATGAAATATTTACAGTAGAAAATTTGAATACCTTGTTTCAGACGAGCTTCGCTTTGAATGACATACGGATTGTTTAAAAACACCAGTCTCCTAAACTCGTAACCATCTCTTTCGATCTCCTCGACAACGAAGAGACCGCTAAGGTCACTTTTCCCTTCGTAGCACGTAATTCTAACTCCTACGTCGGAACCCAACGACAAAAACGGAATATCACTTTTACCAGACAAACCTTCCGGTGCTAAATTCAAAATGCAATCTTCCAGTTCGCTTTTCACAGCATCCCAGTTTTCAAACTTGTGCTCCCTACGCAACGTAACGATTGCGAGCCTATCGCGTTGCGCGCTTTTGAGAACTTGCTGTCTACCTTCTTTCGTGCTAAATAACCAATCTGTTTCTCTGAGAAATAAAAAGTACGAACCGGATTGTGAGTATTGAATCATTTGTTAGATACTTTAAGCTTTCATGTGGCGTTTTGTTGCATTGAAAAAATGTAAAAAATTCGGTGTTACGAGTATCCCACACATGCAACATGTAGCAAATAATTTTCAATGATCGAAGTGTTCTTTTTCTAAGGACATAACATAGATACGTAATATCATAAATAAACAAATTATGTGTAATCATTTTAATATTCATAGGTGAACAATTTTCACTGAATCATTTTCTCAAATCAGAAAAAAATGTATCGTTGCTAAACATTGAGTAAAAATAGCTCGTGAATAACTAAATTTTCTTTGTTAATGTTTATTAATGTTCCACAAAATAAATTACGATGAGATCAGGTCTTTAAAATGATACAAATGATGGAGATGGATTATGTGATACGAAGGATCGGGAAAAACATGTTTCCTTTCCTCAACAAATTACAATAAACAGAAACTTACTTTCCTTGCGGCACTATAAATGCTGCATACGTTTTTGTGCCATATATTTTAGGCCGATCTAAGACATAGACTGTGTAGCGGGGATATTTATCGTCAGGACGATGTAAATCTAATGATATTTCACCAACATCGGCCACGCTACGTTTCTGTAAACTGTTACATATTAACGCAGACTGTTGCGCCGATAGTATAGCAGATATCACTTCATTTGCTGTTGACAATCGTTTTGGGGGACCATCGACTAACACTACTTCCAGGACCTAGTGTAATTAAAAACAATGAACTTTCGAAAAAGACGGTTTATAAATTAAATTTGAATTATAAATAAACATTGGAGGGAATAACAAATCACTTCATCTCTTCGACATAACAATTATGAAACGTACAAGAAAACATTAAAAAGTGTTATGATTAATTAAAAAATAAAATACACTTTCAGTAAAAAAATAAAAATATTTTTGTGCTTTACAAAGAGGTATTGCGCATTCAATGTATTACGCGCTCAATTTTTCGAAACGTGTACTTTCGCTACAAATAATTCCTACAGAGTCTATTACTTTAAATCGTCGATAATTGGGTTGATACATAAATAACTTCAGGCTGCCCTGTCGGCAGCAATTTTTAATTTGCCCATACACGAGAATAGGTGATAATCAACAACAATCATTATATAATTTATTAAGATTTATTATATAATAATATATTTAAAAATCAAAGAAAGTTTGTTTCCTTGGATCTCCATCGTTTTCATATAATTACAAGAAGAGGTCCCCAAACATCACGTTGACTTTTTAATTAGCTTTTGCATAGTGGTAGATAATAAAGAACTAAAGCTAATAGTATATAGTTTTGTGGGGGCAAACGATTTATAGTTTATAAGATATACGACATTGAAATAATTACTTTATTAAGGAAAATATATATCTAATGATATCAAAACCAACTGTGGCGTATGTGGTAAGCCTTCTTCTTGTTGTGGGTTCGATCTCGAATAAAAAAATATTACAGAATATTTTTTTTTACTTTTTTAATTTATTTTAAATGTACATATGTTAAATATGATTAATTTATAAATAACTTGAAAATAATTTGTTTTGTATAATTAATGTAATTGTTACTTTGAGTATTAATGTACTTACCGATTGTGATAAAGTCGTAAATTTTGTAGCAATCACTACGAAAATCGGGATCAAACTTCCTTCTTCGATTCGTGCTTTCGTTTCTGCCTCATGACAACGTACTATACGAAACATAAACCCAGCACTTGGAAAATAAGATATAAGTTCTCTTAAAATGTGCTCTTGTAATAAAGAGATACAAATGTATCTACCGCCATTACGCAAAACTCTCGTGATTTCCTGAAATAAATAATTCTAAATGTATTACATAATAAATAACATAAATAAAATGAAAACAAAAATTGGTTTATACATTAATTCAATGTCAAGTTCTATTTTTAACCGACTTCGAAAAGGAGTGTTACATCCGGCCCAGTTTTGTTTCATAACTATATTTGTTAATACTCAAACTTAGTGACAATTATTATAGAATCCCAAAATTCCTTCTTTTCCAATTAAATACAGATCAGGTGAGCTTTAACTCTTTAATCGAAGACAAGAATCCCTAAAGAAAGTCCCAAACTAGTTGGGACGTAACAGGAGGAGTTTACTCAATTCGACATATATATTTTTTGTTTTTTGTTTTTTGGTTTTTCAATACATATAAGTTTACCTTAAAATATCTATTGACTGTAGATATTGTTCCTTCCTTAGTATCTGGCATAAGAGCATCCAAAGTACCTTTATCTAAAATAACACTGAATGTATCATTCAGGTATGTCATTTGTGTAGCATCCATTTGTTCATAAATTAAATCTGGCCTCACAGAGGCATTAATGTCATGCATTTGTTTAATGACTATATGTGATATATCAATATTTGTAATATTTCTGCAACAAGAAATAAATGTACATTTATTTTATCTGTAAAACAATTAATGTTTGCAATCAGTTTAAACCTATAAATGTGGAATAAAATTAAATACAAAATATCTCACCTATAACCAACATCATATAAACACATACTGACTGTAGAGTTACCACAGCCAACGATTAATATGTTATCTTTTACTTTCATATATTTCAAGAGTATACTACATAATTCTGGATACTCTCCATACCTAAGTGACAATATAAATATTATGTATTTATAACAAATTGAAGTTATGCTAACAAAAACTCCAGAAATATAACGATACATACCATTCAAAATTCTTTTTTCCACGCTTCTTGAAAAATGTATTCCAATATTCGACTTGACTAAATTCTTCGTGAGTTTTCGGTAGTAAATTCATAACTGCAGCTTCTAAATGAAATTATAAACTCGAAGATATAATTATTTGAGATTTATTGTTATTTCACTTGTAGAATTAGGTTAGTATAGATTAACATATGAAATCATTTAGATAAATTCAATATTACGCGATTTTCTATAGTATTTTAAGTAGAAATTTATTTAAGTGTTACTTTAAATCATACTAAACTGCACCATTGTTACATATTCCTGATTAGTAATTGATTACATACATGTGTTTTGTTCATAACATACGATCATAATATTATTATTGAATAGTGGCGCCATCGGTGGTAAAACGCCCAGGTTTGTAGAAGAAATAGTTCACACTGTCCCCGTTGGGTGGTGCCACGGATATCTTTTAATTAATTATTCTTTATGTTTGATAAATGCTTAATTATTACGATTGTTTGATCTACAACGCTACTTAATATGTCAAATTTATTCTTTTTATGCACAGTTTTTTTTAATAATTATCGATCCTTTTATTGATGGCGTCATCTAGCGGCAACAGTCGGAACTATTTTACTATAAACTTGGGCGTTTTCCTGATAAAGGGGCTGACCAAACTCCGAAAATTAGTTCGGTCTATTCACCGCTAGATGGCGGTTTGAACGAAAAAAATTTAAACCATCAGAAAAAAACCAACAATATTTCTCGCAGTTTTGAATAATTAACTTATGTAAAACTAATAGCTACTTTAATTAGGACGTCATAAAATATTATAAATGAAATTTACATACATTCTTATCTTATATTATAGTAACAAGAACGAATAGTACATGAAGATTATAACATGTCAATTTATTACAAACAAAGTCAATACATTAATATGTACAACTACTCTGATACATTTCATATATATATATACATTATATATAAAGAATATGAACACACATTCATGACTCACATTCATATACCTATATATCATAAATACAAAAGCTTTCTCTATATGAATATACAAATATAAATAATGCTATTCGTTTTGAACAATTAATGAAGACGGAACACAAACATGATAGATTATATTCAATTAAAAGAAACATGCACAGCCTTAATCAAGAAGCAAGTGTACTTCAATTTGTTCTATCACCATGGAAAATACTGTTACATCTGTGTAACTTTCATTCAAACTAAGTTTCCTTTTAGCTTATAAAGCTTTGGTCTAACTTTTCCATGTATATCTCCTTCAGTTCCTTACTCAAAAATAACACCTTTTACATTTATACACTATAGAATTTGTACAGTATAAAAGAATACGCACACACTGCACATTTCAAATTACTTGTAATAAACTTGTTTATACATAATTATGTTATAAAGTAATAATATATAAAACTTGTGACATATACTATCCAGTTTTGCACGATGTTTAACATTTATTATCTACTATAAAATATAATCATAAAAACGCAGTATTATCAAAGATATTTAAAGGTTGTTTAATGTACGTAAGTTTTTCTTCTTAAATACTTTGCAGCTATTCGTAATATCAAAATAAGGTATAATTTGATCATAAATGGTGAAACAGAGAAGACAAATAAAGGCTATTTTTAAATTAGAAAATATTATAAATAATCACTTATGTCTTAGTCATTTTTCATTTTATATTAATCTGAAAAATTTGAAATTAATAATTTAAAACAAACACTGGTATTAAATATGTTATAGCAAAAAGGAAAACTTAAAGTTTCTCTATTATGGGCACTATAAACTATGTAACGATAGCACTTCCAAACTGCAGTGTTCTGATTAAATAAAACCAATAACACAACAGCGAATTATTTCAACAACAGCTGAGATTAAATCCCACCCAGCTTCACATACATATAGGAGAAAATATATTATTCTCATCCTTCAACAGATTGAACTTAAATTGTAGGACATTAAGTAATAAATTCTAATTTACTCGCGTTACTGTTCATAGCCAGGGTACGAGAGAATACCAGTAATAGCAACCTTGCCTCCATATTAAAGAATAATATCGTCTATAACACTTTACAAACTTTTCTGAAGATAAGATATAGTAATTGTTAAACGTGATCAAACACAGATATAATGATACTGTTACACGTAATGACATAAGAGTTTAATTAATAGAAAGTCCTATTAATTTAAAAAAAATGAAGATTAAGAACGATTGCTACATCAAAGTGTTTGAAGCATGGCTATTTTCTTGCACATGTAATGGAATAAACTGAGTGGGACTCATCGACTTCAGTACTTGCATGTCAAATACCTCTATGACTAGTAAGTCTTCCTAGTCAAAGACAGTGATGATGTATTCATAAAACTTAGATAATATTAAACTATGTAGTGGATGACGTGGTTCCAGCACCATGAACCCCTAATGTCAAGGGGAACTTTCTATCGAGTGATATATGTAGAAGTAATAAAATACAGATATTGGAGTAATGCAATAATCAGGGGAAAAACAATGATAAAGCTTTCAAGATTGATTCTATTGTCTGTTAACAATCATACAATTTCTGAAATAAAATCAATAATTGTTTACAGACATTCAGAATCCAAATGAGGTAAGAATACAAATGGTGAGACCAGGAGAAAAATGTTCTCCACTGAATTCAGGAAACAGAGAAATAGTAACCATATCACAAACAAAGTGAGTAAAGAAACCCTAGGAAGAACATAACAAAAAAGATGAAACACTGCATGGTTTAGAGAGTGATCAACTTGTTATCTAGACACATTTGGAGATTCCTTCTTAAAGGAATCGAAGATGGCAGTCAAAGTAGCAGAGAAAGCTATTCAAGGGCTCAAAAAAAAAAAGGAAGCAAGAAGTTACAGCAATGGTTACAGGTTTCAAAATTCCATTCTTCACCTTCAATCAGGGTTACAGGTTAAACATTTCAAGAAAAAAACCAGAATAATGAAGGGCATTCTCAAAACTAAATTTTTTCAAAAAGTTTTAGTCTATCACTGGTGTTTCATTTTACTTTGCAATACGCTTTATTTCTTGTGGATTTTCATATGGATTCAACAAAATATTTATCCTTTTATCATACACACACAAAGACCATAATACTTCATACACAAAAGAATTTTCATTTACAATTATTTTGAACTGATCAAATGCCCTGGCAATTAAACGGTTTATTTCTAACATTTATATTGTATATCTTAATTGTTATGTAAACCATTTATATTTAGTAATATGATCCATGGTGAAAGAATCACAAAGCTTCAGATTTATCATTTTCGAGGAAAAAATATAATGAACTATTCACTTATATTATTACCAACTAATTATAAATCAATACTTGTTGGTTCAAGTATTGTCAATCAAATGATAAATTATTTTTTACAACTACTTAACTCATTAAACTTTGAAAACAATTATGAAGCTATTAATTTTATTGCTTGAATAGGTATAAGATCCAATTAGCAGATACATGCAAATAAAAATTAAAAAAAACAAGTATTTGGTTTAACATTGGTATTTGTCAAAATGTATCATCTGTGATATGAAAGAATAGTAGTAGCCCAAAGAAGCCGCTTCCAAATCCACCGTGGAACTCTGCATGGTCCAAGACTAGCCATTGCACTTGCTATATGGCGCAACCAATCCCAGATACCCCATGGTGCATGTCCCCCATTGACATAAAGAACATAAGTAAAACCATCTTTACATTTTCCACGAATTGAATAATAGTATGGTAAAAAACTATGTAATCGAAAATGACATCTCTGGTAAAACAAAATGGCAGGTGAATTGCTAGACAATACGTGTAGGAAGACTGCTTTTACGGAAGACCGTTCTGGAGCAGTAACATGTGCTAATAATTGTTCCAACAGTAACGAAGCAATTCCATTTCTTCTATATGCACGACGAACCCCTAAGATAAGAATATAACCTACTAAACAATCTTTTCCTAAACTTGAACACAAAATATCACGATCTTCAGTGTTCAGTTTGGCATAAGGCTTTATCTCTGCGACAATAAGTCCAATTATTACTCCACCATATACAGCTGCAAGTGCATAAAACCTTGAGGAACTTGTTATATCTTCATACCATGAATAAGGGTAATCTATGACAAAATAAATTAATACATTTATAGTAAGTAATTTATAAAGGTGACAACATGTACAACAAAATCTAAATTAATTCTAAATGCATTTTCATTATTCATAAAAGTAACTTGTTAATCCTTTGTGGTCCAGCCTTTTATATTAGTATTATTTTAATAAACTAAGCCAAGATAAAATGCTTCCACAGCTATCAAAGTATATCAATTAATATCTCTGGTTGTCAGTGACATTGTGTTTTTAACAAGATTCACTATCTTAACTATAATCTTAACTATTATTTGAACACTGACTCACTATCTTAACTATGATCTTAACTGTTATTTGAACTGTTATAGGAACATACATTTAAAATTAGATACACTATTATCATTTTCTTGAAGTATTTGAAACATTAACTGTTTTATAATTAATTAATTTATGAAATAACTGTAAGTTATAGATCTCAGCATACTCATTCAATATGTAAAAATTTAATAGCAAATAAATGTAATGTTCATTTTACAAACATTTACCATTTCTATACGATCTACTAAATGGTTTTTCCAATGACTCATTTTTAATATGCTTACAAATCTAATATAATCATTTGTTAAAATTCGATGCTCCAATATTAATATTATTAAATTATTTGAAGTATCGAGATAGACTAATAGAAAAGAAACTAGTGAAATTTTACGTTAGAAAGATAGAATCAGAAAGGATTAATATACTAAAAATTTAACTTATTGTTTGTATAGTATAATTTGTAAGATTTAAGTTAAAATTTATGGAAAACATCATACCAATAGGGAACCAATCTTGACAAAGTGCCCGTACTTCCTCCAAGTCATCTGGACACAGGAAACGCAATTGAACATCACCCAAGACACATAAAGGAACTGTTGCCGGTGTCACGGAGGTTTTTTGTTCATTAAGCGAATTTCTTGTGGTACTCTCATCCGTATATTTATGTTTGTTTTCTTGAGATACTTTGAACTCACTTTTTTCAATTTCCGGTAAAATAAGATATCGATTAAAAGATACGGCCATCACGCCACAGTTTTTCTATCATTTCATTAATCATTTCTCGAGCGATGTCAAGCATCTCTCGTGCGTAAACGTTTGCTAGTAAACATATTGCGATCCACAGACATTTTGTTTCTCCTCCTTCCCCCGCTTTCCGGCATTTTACTGTCTTTCTCTCTCCAACTATCTCACTTTCTCTTTCTCTCATCCCCACTTATTTTCTCACGTATATCTATAAAATCTAAAATAATTCTCGGAAACATGAATGCATCAGATATTAAATTTCTATAATATACAAATAAAGAATTTAACCATTATTCATTTTATTCTGTACAGGCAAAATTGGACGATCAAGAAGTTCTTGCGTTATATTGAATTTCATAGCAGTATGTTTATTATAATATACAAACTAAAAGGAAATTTTAACGAAACGCTCGCCAAATCTTAAAAATCAAAAAATTGCCTATATTAAACTTATTATAATCTCTAGCTTTTTCTTCTGCTGTACCTTATACATAAGAAAAGAAAAGAAATATAAATTTATGGCAATGGGCACGGGAAAAAAAAGACTGAAAATCAGAACATTCGAATTTTTGTTATGTATTCAAGCTTTATTTCAGAAATATTGTATTAAAAAATTCATGTTCCCTCTCGAGCTCGATGTATTTTCTTTAAAAATCTTTAGCATATTCTCAAATAGAATAGTTTAGTACTCCATGAGCAACGGTTCTGTTCTTAGGATTGACAATTGACCAGAAACCAAAATATTACGCAATCATCTATGTAAACTAAATTGTGCAGCGCGCGACTTAGTATCGCAATAGACTATATATAGGTCCTTATGTTTATATATTTGTTAAATTGATTTATAGTAATAAACATTATCGATTGAAACAACATTTCTTCGAATAATTTTTTGTAAACTTTTATATCCATGAATCCTTACTTAGTTTAAAAGATTGTGTTTGAACACGTGTTGTCAACGTCAATGAATATTTACATTAAAGTAGTTTGTTGATTTTCCACATTACACGTTTCGTTAACTCGTTACTCAAATTCTATGTACATTTTTGTATATATAAAAATGTACACATACAACATAACACAGTGAATATAATATTGCATATAATATCGAACGTATGAGCAAAATATGTTTCTCCTCTCTTATGGAAGATTACACTTTATTTTTGGTTATGGCAATTATGAAATTAAGCAAAATTCGAGGAACACAGTTCGTATAAAGTAAAACGATAAAGATGGTTATAACAAAGAATAATCCGATAAATCGATCATCTAGTTGTTTACGAAAGTATCGAATACTTTTTGTATTTGGTATCACTGTACTATGTGTACAAATTTATTTAGCTCATATGTTTTTTGGCTTGGAAATTCGGAGTCGAAAGTCTAGTCGATTGTCTTCAGGAGATGTGAGTTTTACCTATGTATTTAATAGGTTTAATTATTAGTGTAATTACCAGTAATGTTCATCATTTTTATACAGGATGATTCTTCTAAACCTGAAGAGGATGAAGGATTACCAAAAGGTTTACGTCAATTGAAGCTTCCTCCTGATAAACAAACTAATACGAATAAGATTTTACAATCTCAGCGAAATCAAACTACTAGAATAAAATTAGATCGTAAATCATTAAACTTTGTACCATCTTGTGAATTTAATGGCAGAGAAGCAGTGAGTGCTGTAACACGTGCACAAAGTCAAGCATGCAAACAACGCATTGTTAATGTGACATGCCTTAACCAACAAGGATTATTATATCCAGAAAGAATACAGTCTCTATGCCCTAATTCTGCAGGATTTGTAGACAAACCTATCAGTTTAGGATGTTTTAAAGATGATAAAACATTAAGAATTCTTTCTGGCTATTATCATGTATTTAAAGGGAACAATTCACCAGAACGCTGTGCTTTTCTATGTCTTCAATCAGGATATTCATATGCTGGTACTGAATACTCGTAAGTATAATCAGCACAAGTTTTTATATATTTTAATTATTATATATTTTATTTTAACAAATTAATTTCAGTATTGAATGTTTCTGTGGAATGGAAAAACCATCTCAGCTAAAGCGATTGCCAGATTCTAGTTGTAATATGAAGTGTGCTGGTAATCCTAAATATTCTTGTGGTGGATATTTAACTATTAACGTATTTTGGACTGGGATACAGAGTAAGGAAATAAACAATTTAGTAGATTTCTACATACTATGTAAATACATATCACTTTTAAAAATACAAATTCATACAGATTTTCACTTTTTATATAATAGAATTCAAAGCACAAGAAGCTCGAAATGCAAGTACAGAAGATGAAAATGAGAAACCTGCTCAAATAGCTTATTTATTAACAGTAAATGGCAGAGCCAGTCGACAAGTGAAACGACTTATCAGTATTCTTTATCATCCTTCACATTTATTTTATATTCATGTTGACGCGGTAATTCAATTTTTGTATTTCTAAGTTTAATAAATACGTATTTTGTTATGCTAAAGTTATTGCATATTTTTAGAGACAAGATTATCTCTATCGAGAGATGTTAGAAGTGGAAAAGTCTTGTAAAACAAATAATATTAAAGTAGCAAGAGGAAATGGTTTACGACATGCCAGTATTTGGGGTGGTGCAAGTCTTTTAACAACTTTTTTGAAATCTGCACAACAAATGCTCGCGCATCAGCATCATTGGGATTTTCTTGTCAATCTATCAGAATCTGACTTTCCTATAAAAAGCAATATGCAATTAGTTCAGTTTCTAAGTTTAAATAAAGGAATGAATTTTGTAAAATCTCATGGAAGAGAAGTTCAACGTTTTATCACTAAACAAGGATTAGATAAAACTTTCGTAGAATGCGAAACTCGTATGTGGAGAATAGGTGATCGCAAATTACCAAATGGTAAAATTTGTTCATTTCACTTGCTTTTAAAATTGCTTACAATGTTCATTATAAACCATAATTTTTTATAGGTATTCAGATAGACGGTGGTAGTGACTGGGTAGCTTTAAGCAGAGAATTCGTAGAATATGTTGCTGGCCCAAGTCCAGATGCATTAGTGACTGATCTTTTAAGGGTATTTAAGTATACCTTACTGCCTGCTGAATCCTTTTTTCATACAGTTTTACGAAATTCGAAATTTTGCAATACTTATATAGATAACAATTTACACGTTACTAACTGGAAAAGGAAGTTAGGTTGTAAATGTCAGTATAAAGCTGTAGTTGATTGGTGTGGTTGCAGTCCAAATGATTTTAAACTCGAAGATTTTAGTCGAATTCGCAATACGATAGATCGTAACCTATTTTTTGCTCGAAAGTTTGAACCTAGCATCGATCAAAGAATTATAGACAGGGTAGAAGAATGGTTATACCCTGAAAAAATAAATAAAACTATTATAGCAAAAGGTTACGACGCATACTGGCAAAGTTTATACCATGCAGCAGATTTGAGTCCTTTGACAAATGATGCGCAACTGACTGTTTCAAATTCATTAGCGAGATTGATTTTTCGTAAACTGGAGATAAATTACAAGAATGTTCATCTTTTGGAGACAACAGCTTATTTCAGGGAAAATCAGTTTATTGGAACGTTAATTCTTACAGAAGCTATAGTACAACAGCCACTAGATCAACAAGAACGTGTGGAACGAATAGAAGCCTTGGTTTATTTAAGACATAACTTTTCTACTAGTAGAGAATGGTTAGGAAAAATACAAACTTTATCTATAAATACTGATTACGATCAAAAGGAGAAAACTTTTAGAAATTTAATGGGAAGTATAGGACCATACTCATATCCAGTTTTATCATATGAATTTGATACCGGAATTACAACACCACAAAATTTGTCAGTACTGTGGGTGGATCCATATGGTCGATTAGCAGATGTTAATAACATACAACTTGAAGAAATGACATTAGTAATTATACAATCTTTTTTGATATTTTTTAACCTTAATATATTTTTTAATGATTAATGCATTGTTTGTTTCCAGACAGGGTATGTTAAACCACAGTTCAATGAACACTTGGTTGTGGGTACTTGGCATTTGTTCTTGGTTGCTGATTCCGTATTAGTAGCAAAAATGAATTTTTTGGTCACTTCTTTAGGATATTGGAAAAATAAAAAAATAAGTGCAGAAAAAGCGAAAAGAGTAAATAATGCGTCTGGTGATAGTTACGATATTAGTGAAGAAATAAATAAAAAGTGGTCGTATTTACTAAGTTCTATAAACTTTCGTGAACGAACTGCATATATTACAGGTGATGAAAATAAAGTCAATTCTAATTTGGATCAATGGATAGACAAGTTAGTGCAAGAACATTATGAAATTGACAAAATATGTAATGCTTATCATAACATTGATACTAAACTAAAATTACAAAAGTGTATAAATACACACTGGAGCTCTTTGAGCCCAGATTCAAAGGCTGATATCAGTAACTTATGTTAAAAGTACGAATTAATTTATTAAATATGTGCCATTCTCAACACTTTTGAACGTTAACCTAATTAAATACGCGAAAAGGTTAACAATCTTTTTAGATATTTTTATATCAAGTACATACTATATACATTTATAAGACTATTTTAAAAGAATATTAAGTCCTGAAAATTAAAAAATTCTTAAGCAACAAGGAAGGACATTTTTCACGATTTCCTTTGCATGTCCGTTATTAGTTTAAAATAAATCTAATCATTTTAGACGTAATAATCTGCTTTTTGTCTATACGATGGTTTTCATGTGTGAATTATAAAGATTGCAAGGCCTGATCATTGCGTTATTAGCTGTATTAACTGATGTTAGAAATAACATTTTTCGTCCTATTTTTAATAAATTTATATACAAAACTAAGATAAGACGGTCATATTTTCACATGCAATTTCATTTATCTATAAAATGTATTAAATATTTATTAATTGTTATTCGTTATAACATCGTTAGTATTATGCAATTAATAGGTTATATTTTCCTATAAAGTCTCGATTGAAATTACAGTTTCCATAATTTGTATTGCATTTCTGAAAAATATCGATACATGTGCCTTCAACTTTGTTAATTAATCATAAATTGATCTTCATCTCGTTTCAGTTTTCAAGTCAAATAATGTTAAGATAGTTTATAATAATAGCAGTTCATTAACTAGATATTTTATTTTACATCATTTTCTTTGGTTCGTTTATAATACGATTATATCTGTTATCTCTATTTTACGATTGTTGTAAATTCTTTATCCTATTTGTAAGATGTTTTTTCATATATTCTATATACTTTTGAAATTACACTGTATGTATAAATGTGATATATACATTGTACAATAAATTAAACAAATATTGTGTATAATATATATATATTAGTTAAAATTAGCTATCATGTGATTACCGCTAATATCTAATGTGGATATATACATCCTAATACAGCTACTTTTACCGTCGGTAACTATGGCTACAACTATAATATTGCCATCTAGTGTTTATATCACAAAATTTGAATTTTGCTGTAAGCAAAAGGGCTATCGGCAGCTAGATATCTGGAATTATCTTATTATTTTGCGTTACACCACAATCCAAGTATCACCATTAGTATGATGTGTTCAAATGAACATTAATATAATTACGACATAACATAAAGTGAAAATTCTATAAAAAATATCAACTAGTGTAAAGACTGTTTGTTAGAAATAAAGAGGAATACGAAGGGTATTTTATAGAATTTTCAAAATTTATTTAAAAGTACAATTTACATTTTCTCCTTTTCAACTTACGTATTATACTGAAAATTACAATGAGCATAATATCTTATTCGTCTAAATAATTGTTGAGTTTACGGGTGGTCAGTGTAGTCTGAGAATGTAGTAATATCTTGAAAACAACTAGAAACTACACTTTTGTATGTTTTCATATTTATTCGTAAATTTAGTAATATATGTGCAAGTACTTACACGAAAAAAGAATTTCGTTGTGATCTAGAAACCTCGCAAGTTCATGCAATACCTTTTTCAGTGTACTTTAATATAGTCTGTTATAAAAACATATCTTAACACTAACGAAGAACACTGTTAAGGTTAACGTTAACGAAATGAGTATTCACAAAAATAAAACAATACTGTTATAAAGTAACATGTAATGATTTCTTAGCATTTTCCACCCAATTTTGTAACATGTTAATTCAAAGAATAATTAATCAATAACATAAAGTATAATCATAATTAGTATAACACAAACATAATAGTGAAGATGTATAAATTATTGTGTGAAAAGTTCATTTATAAGAATCAAAATGTATTGCCTTTCACATACACTTGTATACAGCAATGTCATACAGAAGTGGAAAGAAAGAAAAATAAAAGCAGAGTATCCAATATCAAGAAGTATTGGTTCAATAGATACATAGATTATGTACAAAACTTTACACATGTATTGGAAAGGAATTTTCCATGGACTGTAAAGATGTATCGCGTATTTAGTATTGGTACCAAAGATTTTGTCATAGAAATGAAAAGATATTTGTCAATACTAAAAAAACAAAATATTGATGGTATTCGTAACTTAACATTGGAAGAACTACAGCTGAACTATACAATGCGTAAAGATTTAATAAGGATATGCCCTTTCATATTAATATCTGCCATTCCTTTTACAACTTATGTCACCTTTCCTTTGGCATATTATTTTCCAAGACATATTTTAACTTCTCATTATTGGACACCACAACAAAAGATTGATTTTATGTTGTTAGACCATAAAAGGCGATTAAAACACAACAAACCATTATTCAGATGTATGCAGGCAGAACTTGTCAAAATTAAAAACCAAACATTGAAAACAAAGTGGAATGACATCATTGCATGTCTTGGTAGTGGTACACACCCTCGTGTAAACGATATTATTGCCTGTTCTGAACTATTTTCTGGTCCTCCATATTCATTGAAGAATCTTAGAAGGAGACATGTAGTATGTTGGATATAATTTAAATTAATTTTATGTATCCAAGTACTTTTAAACATTACTTCAATCACTTGATTTGTGAAAGAATTATAAATTGTATTAATTTCTAATACCATCATTTATCAAAGATAATAGAGACATAATAATTTTGGATTACATTTTAGAAAGAATTACTTGCTATACACGACATATCTTCTTGGACACCTTTCAAAAAACAAAAATTAAAGGCAAGGGGTATGCTGATACAACAAATGGACCAAGCCATACAAAGAGAAGGTGGAATTACAAAATTGTCAAATGATTCAATATATTGGGTGTGCATATAAAAAATATAATCTATTATATTTTTCATATATTCTTTAATCGTTATAACTAATTAAATATATGTTTACATATATATCATACTTATGACATATATGTAAATTGTATACTGTTTTAGGCACTTTCATTTAGGGGTATAAATCCGACTAATATGTCAGTAGAGAGTATGCAAAACTGGCTTGACCAGTGGATTGTATTGTCAAACGCTGTCAATGAAAATAATCTTTCTTTATTATTACATGGTCCAATACTGTTAGCATATAATTATCCTTCTAATTGGATTCTTATATATAGTTGAAACAGTAATACAAAACCTTTATTATTTATATTATAAGATAAAGTATGTAAGCATTGTGACAGTATACAATCTCAATATTTATTTGTGTTTGCTCTTTGTGAAATGTATATAAATAAATCGTATATTTATTTATTATATAATGCTATATACACGTACCAACTAATTTCTGTCCTTTGTTCTATTAATAACTTAGTAACGTTTGAAATTAAAAATAAGTTATAAATCCATGTAATAATATATTATTTATTTATATGTACCATTGCATTTAACAATAAATTCTGATGTAAGTAATCAATATTTTGCATGTTTTATTTAATTCTTTGTACTCAGCAACAAGAATGAATTGAAATCAGAAAATCTAGATGACAAAGGGTTGAATACATATTTTGTACATTAATATATGCAGATTATAATAACATACATTTAATAAATAATATGTCTACATATGTACCAAGTTATATTTTAGGTTAGTGCTACCCAATGAAGGGGACTGCCAGGCGCCTGATTCCCCTTCCTTTCTTCAACCTTTTTCCATCTTTTTCTTGTGTAACATGTAGCCATTGAGCTCTATCCTAGGATAGAGCTCAATGCATGTAGCATACTTTCACTGTCAAAGCTAAAGAAGTAACCATAATACTAGGCTATATAGGTTGTCCCGTATAAAGTGTTATCGAAAGATAACAAACTTACACATTGCACGTTTGTTATCTTCCGGTAACCAACTCACGGCAATGCCAATCCCGTACATGTATATTTGTAGTTCATAGAATCTAACATAGATTATACATAGCTGTGGTTTAATTTTCCGTTGCGAAAGAACTATATTACTTACGGTATTATCTGTTTAACGATAAAAAAGTGAGGAAAGGTAAAAAGGGTTCATATAAAATGATAACAACTTGTACGCAGGTAAAATACTTTCATTTTGCAAAGTGTACATTTTTTCCATTTACATAATTATATACACATTATAAAATATAGTCCTCATTTTTTGTATATATTTATACTTAATATTATACAAACTTAAATCTGTTTAGCTAACAAACGTAAATTTTACTACTAATTAAAACAAAAATTGTTGTTTATCAAACTATAAATTTGATATTTTAATAAAAATAGATAAGATATATGAACCCGCAGACGATTTCGAAAAATATTAACAAATTTTTATGAGTGATATTGTACTGTATGTATTAATTAATGGGTATATAAGTAGGAAGAAAACCAATTGGAGGACGCTTTGCAATTTTACAATCAGAAATGCTTTGAGATTCACAATTATCATTGATTGATTTTAAATTTATGTTATCATCAGAAATTTTGATTAATGCGTCGGAATGAATTGTAGCTTCTACCCTTTTCATAAGTTTAATTTTGTTCATAACTCTTTCTCTTTTTTCATCAAGAGATTTATCGGTACCGCTATCTGCTTGTTCATAGTATCTGAGTCTGTTTTCATTACTAGAAGTGGGAATATTCTTTGATATAGTAGGAGGTGTTATTGGATCGTTAGGTACATTGTATTTTCTTTTGAAATGGTTTTGTTTATTAGAAGGGGAATGTGGCTTATGAGGATAAGGACAATGCTTACCTTTACTGCACGTTCCCAGCCTTGCAAACTCTGGACACAGATTTTCATGACGTTGCTTACACTGGAAACGAAAAAATCAATTCTTTTTTTGATATAGTGTTTTATACACATCACTGATATAAACAACGTATGAAATTGTTATAAATAATGAAATAAAAAATATCGAGATTACCTCACGACCTTTAGCACAGTATCCTTGCAAAAATTCTCTGCAAATTGGAGTGCTGGAAGAAACTTTAATGTGACGATATGGACAGTCATCTCGGGTACAACAACCTTCTAAAAAGTATTTACAAGTTGGCATTTTTTCAGGACCTACATCATGAGATAATGGACATTTATCCAGTAAACAATTTCCTTGAAGAAATCTGAAAACATTTTGTTACCAAGTAAACAATACAAATAAACATTATATTGACACGAAAAATGATTTTACTTTTTGCAAAGAGAAATTTGCTTTTTATCATGGCGTTTTACACAAATCCCTCTTTCATGGTTTGAGCAATATCCAAATCGTTGAAATATCAAACAAGGTTGATTGTTTTTTTGCATTTTATTCCGTAATATCTGTATACTCCTTTGTTTGACTTTATTACTGTAATTCACGAAAATATATTAATACCAAAGTATGAATTAAAAAATTATTTGTAATATTTTGTATACCTAATATTATTTTTATAGTTTACTTTCTGCGATATGTTAGATAATAATTTTGTGCCACTGAGTGTGTTAAATGTTTTAGTATTAGAATTTCCAGATATTTGTTTCAGAGATCTTATCCTACATAATTTTTTCCCATTAGTGGTCACGATAAATTTATCATCTTTTGTATTTGTTGCACGTTTTCCTGTAATAAAAAACATAAACATTTACATCATGCATTTATTTGATTTTATATTATAATAAAAGTGTAGACAGTACTCCAAATATTGACTTACTTTTTACTCCATAACTCTTACGTACTAGCTGATTCTTGGAAGACTTGTAAACAATTCCTCCAATTGTAATTAATTCCGATTTGTTATTCCTATAAGGTATATTCAAATTTTATTAATTTACAAGTTCTATTTATTCGATATTTTAAAAGTTACCAAAATAGATATTATTGCAGTTATACATACATAATTTTTTTCTGACCAAGATCTATATGTTCTTTGATACCTATTGATTTTGGTATAGTTCTGTCTATTCTATACTTGTTTACTGTAGGTTTTATAATTGGCATTTTCACAAAATTGGTATTCTTACTAACAGATTGTTGTAAAGTATTTACTATTTTTGTTTTCATGACTTTATGAGAAAAAGGTTTGATACTTTTTAATGACGAATTTGGCGACTTTTTAATTTTATGTAGATCCATTTGAGAAGTACTTAATGACCTTCTTGATACTCGTTTTACCCGTACAAGTTTTCTTTGCGATAAAATTACAATATTAGAATTATTAGTTCTCTTCTGACCAATAGTCTTTGAAGTATTTGTATCCTTAACAAATTTCAATCTTGAACAAACTGGATGACTAGCATGTTCTACTGGCTTAGATTGTATCGAGGAAGACAATTTTTTCATTAATTTTGGATTAACATACACTGACTTTTTCATAGAGTTTCGCTCTTGCAAAGAAATTTGTTTAACACTTGCTACTTTGTTTATAGAATTACATCCTATATTTTCATTAGAATTAATAGCACCTCTCACCATTTTTGGATTAACGTGTACTAAAGGTTTTACGCGCAATGATGGATTGATATGTATAGCAGAATTTTGATGTTTAAAATTTGGATTGATGTATACATTAGTACTTGTTAATTCAGTATTTGAGATACTATCAGAAGTTTTTGAAAATAGTTGACATTTCTGGAGTAAATTTGTACATTTGTAGGACCTTGTAAGACCTGAGTTTTGGTTTTGTATACTTTCTTCCTTACAGTATACTTTTCCTGATGATTTTTTGTTATGATGTTCTATTAAATCTGTAATATATAACATTATTGTTAGATCTAAAATTTTGTTTACATAGAGGCCAGTGAATTGTGTTGAGCTAAATGGTTCAACAAGGGATTAAACAAATGAGATGTTTAGAATTTGTTGAAGCATACACATTGAATATTAATGTTATAATTAAAATATTAATTTTTTGGAAATAAATCCTTTGTGCTATAAAATAAACATGAAAATCGATCAAAAGTGATGCATACTGTATATAAATTAAAATTGTATTTTCCTTAGGAAGTTAATTGTACAACTTTACTTCTTTCAATGTGCTTTTGTCGTCACTACATATATTCAGCATTGAATGGATCACTAATAATTGTAAACTTACGTGTCAAATAATGGATTTCTTTTAACAAACTTTCGTCCATTTTTAATAGTAAAAAACTACACTTTTACGCGAATTACTAAATAAATAAAGGACGAAGTATTAAAGGCAGTACTTTAAGACGCAATTATTTCTTTCCCAAATTACATCAGAATCAACCACAATTGACCAGAATGATGACATACGTCGTATCTTGATACTATCTTGGTCGCATCACAGCATCATAGAATAGTGTAACAGAAGCGAAACTCTTGACGGGGTTTTTGATGTCGTGAGGGCGCCATTGGTGGAGTGTGGTTTAGAGCCAGTGGCGTCATCGGTGGCAAAACGCCCAAGTTTGTAGTGGAAATAGTTCCCACCATTCCTGATAGATAGGGCCATCGATATTTTTCAATCAATTATTCTTTATTTTTCGTAAATGTGAAAATAATTATTACAATTACTTGATTTATAATTAAAAAAATATTGGATATGTTATTATATTAAGTTATTATTAAATATTTGATTCCATTACATTTACATCTTGTAGAATATTGCAGTCGAAAATAGTAGGCACAACGTGTTTTGTCAAAAACCGTTTCCCCTCAGTGTAATGAAAACAAGAATTTGCAAAATGAATGTTACAAATGCGAGTATTCTGGGAAATTTTGCACGACGTTGGTATAGCATTCTTCCATTGATTTAAAAGAATATCATTTTTTAATGGAAATCTAACATTAAAGTAACATTAAAGTTTCAAATAAATCGTTTTACTTTGATCGAAATGTGAAGTTAATATCTCATGAACACTGGAATTGTTAATAATGCAATACCTAAAAAAACGATACATTCCAATTTGGATTTCAATCATTTGTACACCCCTTTACGCAGCAAACTATCACCATTTTAATCATTGTTATAAATATTTTCGATAATAAATATACTCTTCGTCAGCTGGACGGCGTCAGAGTAGCTTTTTATCAAAAGTTTTGATCAATCTTGACAGTACACAGCTCTGACATGCATACGGTTTAATTTTAAACAATTTTAAAGAAGTATGGTATAGCCAACCAAATGCTTAAAATGCTTAGTTAAAATTGTTAACTAAGCCCTTAAATAAATAAAACAAATCTATCTCTTTTAGTAGACGCATTCTAAACCATTCTACACTGCTTTTTATAGAGAGCGTGCATTTTGGCCAGTATAGACCAAAGAGATTATATCTTTGCTTATCATAATCAATGAATTATATAAATTACAGTAGAGAAGTCATAAGAGCTTCTATAAGTAGAGATAATAAGATACGAAGAAAGAGAGAACAAATTGAGAGAGTATAGGAGTACTTCTCCTCCGCATTCTCCAAGCGGCGGGCAATTTAAAAATAAAATTAGATTTACACTCTTCAACAAAACAAAATCGTTTCATAAGCCTATTTAATATCAGTACTTGATCTATCTAATGATTTTAAAAACGTAAGAATTGATAAGAATTGTTGTTGGTACTTCATACTACTTCGTACTACTTCATACGTCCTTTATAAATAATAATACTCTATATTTCTATATTGTCAATACATCTAAATAACTTTAATTTGATTATTCAAACAATATGAAAAATTAAAACAAATAGATATCAAGATCGATTACATTACATAACTCCGTAACATTTTATGCAGTGATCTGCAGTGAATAACGTTCAAAGATGGCTACGGTTAAGCTTGGACCTCATCTAAAAGAATTACGAATTCTTTTATGTCAAACGTCAAAATCTAGTCAGGGTGCTAGGTGATAGTAACATTACTTGTTAAATATTTGCATTATCATAAAATATAATAATCATCCATAACCTTCAGTATTGAGACCTAACCTATTCGTACTTTTTTCAGAAATTTTGTCGAACAACAGTATGTACCTCTTAAAAGAAGTAACCCAGAATTTCCAGTTTTGATAAGAGAATGTTCTTTAATTGAACCTTTTCTATACGCACGATATGGTAAATGGAATAATATAATATTTTCTGAGGAACTATTAATTGTAATGCTGTGAATATTACATCGTATTTTTAGAAAGATTAATAATGACACTTAATATGTCCTTTGAGATTTGTATGTTTATTGATTTGAAATTAACATATTTCAGAACGTGGAGTGGAGAAATGCATTTCCCTACAAAATTTAGAATCTGAGGAAATACTTAATCGAATTAAGGAACTTGCAGCTAGTAAAGCATAATAATATGTATTCTATTACAGATGTATCTTAATTTATTTAGTTATTAAATAAAATAGTTGTATTAATTTAATTATATTATAATATTTAAGTGTTGAGTATCATATCTTTTTCAATGAGTTGGTATCTAACTTTGAAGTAAAATAAAGGAGATACTTTTAAATACTTTCATTTACAAAATTATCATACAATAGCTATTTTTATTGCTTTCAGTTACCAACAACTTGAGCAGTTTCTTTTTTTGCAATTCCAATTTGGTATTTTAAAATATTTCTATATACAAAAAAAAAATATTTTTCAACTGTACTTTGTATTTCTTCTTTATTGTACTTTAAGTTTATATTATCTGAAGTTTATTGTAGCCCTTATTAAAGCGAAGTTGAAAATATTACAGTTTAAAATCTTTGTAGCGTCCTTTTTATAAGAATGTGTTATGTTACCTTTTCAAATTATTATTACCGTTGTGATATCGTTTCAATAACTAGAATTATAGTTAGGGTAAAAAATGTAATTCTATTAAAAAAAAAAACAAGAATGATTTTGAGAATTATCTTGTACATTTATCTACAAATAAACTGTTTTCGCTATGTAATGTTATTTTTAAATGCATCGTAATTTTCATTGCTGAAAGTAAATTATTTATACAGCTTGAGTTATGATTTCATTTTGTTTGTATCAAATTTTCTGCCATGGTAACAGAATCGTCAACATTTAAAATGTTTGCATATTTGTCACTTAAGCAATTAAAGGTTGTATATATTTGTTTAAACTGACTTATATAATACAATTTTATCTTATCTATGTTGAAGGAAACTATTCCCTGTATGTCACATTAGAAATATTATAAAAATTGTATGGTAAATTGGGTGGTAAAAAATTTTGCAAAGTTGCTGGCATTGCATTAAAGTATGTTGCATTTCTTTCTCGAAACACAGTATCTTGTATCGTACTGGACACATCTGGTTGAAAATTTTGAATTGCAGTAGTTGGTATAGTTTGTACAACAATTGGTTGAGTTGTAGATGTATGCGACACAGTTTGTATTACCTGTAGACATTCCAAATATGGAAAATACAAGATACAAAAATCATGTATACAAAATAATTGAATTATCGTGATTAAATTCAAGTTGAAAATCGTAATTATACAAGGTGTCCAATTAAAAACAGGGGAGCACAGATCTCTTATCTTAATATAATAAAATAAATTTTAATAGCGATTATCAAAATGGTTCAGACTAATATTTCTAGATGCGAGCGGAAAATTCAATTTGATGCTTAGAATACATACCACCTGAAAGGTTAGCTTATAGATATATTTCACCTGCAAAGAGTTTCAAAAATCAGCTACAAACACAGGTATTTAAAAAGTTATGGATCCATACAAAAACATAAAGGTGACCTTCATATCACCTTGGCATCTCCACCTAAAAAAGTTATTTCAACAAATTCACATCCCCCTGAACAGTGTAATATATGAAGAAAAAAAAACTATATTAAGTAGCACTAAATTTAAAAAATATTGGATTTTATCGATTAGAACTGGACACCCTGTATAAGATATAGTATTAAATAAAACAATAATTCCTTACTTGAACAGTTGGTGATTCCGTCGGAGACACGGGAAGAGGATCTTCGGATGTATTTGATTGAACTGTTTGTGACTGTTCTGATTGTTGCTGCGGTTGATGTAATTGTTGCGATTCTGATTGTTGTGATTGTGATAAATGTTTGGTATGTGATGTATTGATTCCATGTCTACGTTTCATATGTTTATTGTAGTTTGGCCAATTTGTAAAATGATGCTGACATTCTAAACAACTATACGGACGTTCACCCGTGTGTTGTCTTCTGTGTGTCTAAAATTAAACTTAATAAGTAGAACTATATTATTACTTGTAGAACGCGATAAAAACTATTTAATGAACCTACAGTCAATATTCCTTTAAAGCGAAAACATTTGCCACAAAATTCGCATGTAAATGGCATTGCTCCAGTGTGTATTCTGTGATGCTCTCTTAATGTACCTTTTTCTCTAAAAGTTCTTCCACAGACAGCACATTGATGTGGCTTAGCTCCAGTGTGAACTGTTTCATGTTTCTTTAATTGCAATGGCGTTTTGAAGCTACAAATCACATTCATTATTGTAACCTAGATATTGAAATATAAATTATATTATAGTTTTTATAGACATACGCTTTTGAACATTGAGTACAGTTGTATGGTTTATCTGCAGAGTGAGTTAAAAAATGAGCTTCTAGATTTCCTTTCTGAATAAAACTTTTGCCACATTGATCACATGTAAAATTTCTAACACCAGAATGGATGCGCTTATGTGTAACTAAATTCGGTTTTGTTGAAAATCTGAAACAACTCTTTCTATTATTTAAATATTTCATTTTGTTTATATAATGCTTTACCTTTTGTCACACTGGTCACAAGGAAATCTATTCTTCATCGTATCCGGTAAATGACATCGACTATGTATATATAAAGCACTTTGTTGTCTAAATGCTTTTCCACAAGTTTGACATATATGAGGCCGTTCTTCACTATGAATTGCTTTGTGAGAATCTAATACTTTTTTATGTACAAATGATTTCCCACAATCTTCGCAACTAAGTATATATGATACATACACATATACATACATACAGGCGTGTACATGTGTATGCACGCGTATATATTATATATGAAAATGTATTATTAAAATGCTATTACAAAATAGTCAATAATTTAAAATTATTAATAATGGAAATGATATTTACCTGAACTTTGCCTTATTCTTATGTCGTTTGACATGCGTGAGAAAACCATAATATTTATCATAAACTTTACAACATAGTACACACATATATTTTGCTTGTTGATTGTGAACAGTTTCGTGATGCTCTTCTAATCCTTCTAAACTTGATAATTTATCGTTACAATCCGTGCAAAGCCACGGATATCTATCTAAAGTCTCTCCTCTTTTATGTCCAAATTTTAACGTATCTGTTGTATGTGCTTCTATCATTTCTAAATCTGAATCTGTACCTGTAGTGAAAATGTTGTACTTTGAATAATTTTACTATTAATTAACATAATATATATTTCAAATCAATTTACATATCATATTCAAAGATAATATTCTTTTAATTCTCTGTTATGTATACAAGAAATATTCAGTCTTCAACAGTAAGTGTTCTCCAACATTTTCGAAATATTTAATACATATTTTCACTGGATTTAACAATATTTCACATACCAAAGACACACACTTCTCTTTCTAGTATGATTTAATGCTGATTTTATGCTATTGATCAAGTATCTTACCTTTCTCAACCATTTATCATACATTGTCAAGATCTTAGTACAAATAGATCGACACTACATTTACAATTTGAATAGAGTTAGGAAATTAAATTTGTGTAAATAACCAAAAATAATTTTCAAATTCGGATTTAACTAAAATAATCTAATGAATAATATTACAAAGCGTTAATATTATATGGCCAATGTAATCTTAATATTAGTGTTGGTGTATGGACGTACGTTTTAGATACAGGAACTGCATACAAAGAAATATCATGAAGTGTGTTCTTCAATCTGTGAACAAAAATCCAGAAAACAGTGATTAAAAAAAAAGGATAAGTTATTACCTTACCACATTCTATTGCACATTGAATTCTATAAAGATGAAGAAAAGTAACAATTCTGCATTGTTCTTTGTAGTGTGTGCAGATATTATAATTTAAAAATGTATTAGAACACTTACTGTAAGTAATACAATGTGAATATGTATCACATGTGCAAGTGTACACACTCCTTCGTGTTTTTAGTTACCTCAATCTGCAGATGTGTAGCCTTGAAAGTCTAATTGCTTTTACCTCAGAAAATATACTTAAAGTTACAGAATAGTAAATTTCATTATTCTTCGGGTATTAAGTATGTACTAATTTCAGAGTATCTCTAGATTCTCACAAATCTATTTTATTTATAGATGCAACAATGGAGATGTAAAATACAATAACATTTATTTTTAACCCTTTGCGGATGAGAGGTTTTATTGGTGCACTCGAAAAAGAAATTATATACACCTGAAAATTCTGTCATAATAATAACACATTTAATTGTACATAAGAAAAACTTTAAAAAAGTATACATTAGCATTGATTAATAATAATTTTAATTTTGTAATATAAAATTCAGTTTCATATGATATCTTTCAAATGATCCCCTGGGTGTAAGCTTAGCAATGTTTGGGCACCTATAGTGCTTCATGTTCGCAAAGGGTTAATTGTATTTCTAGTACTTTTATATATAAAACCTTCGAAAGAATTGATTTGCATAAAGAAAGTAGGCACATATCTATTACAAAAAGTGGAAGTGTGCTTTGTATCATTGCATCTGCAGAAAAAATCATGTTATACAAAATTAGACCAATATTCAAGTTTCCTGTTCATGATTTTCTTCTATTTTTAACTAAATAGAGATACCTATTCTAGATACATGATACTTTACATATTCTAAAGTTAATTCAAAGTGATCCTTGAAGGAAATATGCTTTAGTTTACATATTATAATAATTTTCTATTCAATGTACTATAGTTTCCAAAAGAACATTCTTTCTAATAACATTAGTTATACATGAAATGTCAAATTTAACACATTTTTTTTTTACCTGTCATATAGTTATCTGGAATTTTAACATTAGTTTTTACATTTATATTATTATGTTCTTTCTCTAAATCAGAATTTATATACATATTTGAATCTTCCATCTTTTGATTCTGACTTTTCCGTTTTAATCTCTTTCTGGTCTGTTTTAATGGTGTTTTCTTCATTTGAATTTTACACTTTTTTTGTTTCACAATATCTTGGGCCTCCTTAGCTTCATATTTTTGATGATTACTGTTCTTGTTTTCTTCAACAAAGTAGTTACATGAAATATTAGATTCATGAATGTAGTTATTTGTCAAATGACACTCAACAATTCCTTCTGCAACTTCTTCTTCTTTTGGAAATGCAACTGTCTTTTCAATATAGTTAATGCTCGTTTGTAATGATTGTGGTTCAGATTTAGGATCTATGAGTAATTGCTTTAGAGATGTTTGTGCTTGATTAGTTTTCTCAAAAAATTCATTGCACTGATTCAACAGTATACAACAGTCTATACAAACTGTAAGTGGTAATCCATCAGTTATTAATACCTGTAAAAAGAGATTTTCAATTTAAACATAACAAACAATTACAAATGTATTTATAATTGAATCAATAATAAAAATAATATCACTAATTTATCTGGAACTAAAATGAAATCGCAGAATCATTATTAAATCTATTTGATTATAAGCATGTTAAGGAAAATCTGTACAAAAAAAAAGAACCAATTGTTTTTTTACCTGAATCTGCAAGCATTTAGCTATTTTAGCTTCTATAGCTAACTTTCGTCCTTCAGCATCATAAATTCCAATACAGTTTTCTTTGGTCTCGGCACAGAGCCGGCATAGTTCCGGCTCCGTCATTATTCACACATAAAATTGGAGAATGTGTATCGCGGCACAGTACATTGTCACAAAAATTATAGATCTAATCGCATCATCTCTCATTTACACTACGACATGTAGTAAATAAAAAATTGGTACGGACGCCAAACAAGATAGCGGACATGTTGTTCTTTTCAATAAGAAAAAGATGAAGTACTTTTCAATACGCACACGAAGGATTCTTTAAATTTCTATTTATCCCTCTACGTTTATCAGCAAAGATGTTAGACCCTTAAGAAATAATTAGTACTACACTTCCCATTATGTCATAACGGAATAAAAGTATACATTTATCTCATTACGATTGTTTGGAAAAGTATACAACTACGTAAACGCATGCTGGTGGCGCCAGCTGGGGAGGCACGTAAGGGATCATAATTTAAAACTAAAATCACTAGCTGTCGGCGAGTAGAGGATCTCCAAGGATCTAAAGTTATGATCTCAAACTTATCAAATTATCATTATGCTTCCCTGGCAAAATGTTATAAAATTATTTTTATCACTTCTTACGATTGAAAACTTGAAACCATTGTGCCTTGACTACGCTCTGACAAATTAATTTCACACAAAAAATTGCCAACCCATTAAAGCTGCCAGGAATGTGTTTTATGTACGCATGTATGTATTAATGTATTGTAGCATTAACCTAAATCTTAACCATGCCTCCGAAAAAGAATCAAAATACTTCGAAAACGAATAAATCAAAAAACTCGGAAGGGAGCAGCGGGAAAGAAGAAAAAAAAGGGGGAAATGCAGTGAAAGTACGTAAAGGTTTTATGGTTTTGAATCTTGACAAATCTAAAGAATTTCATTCTTTATACAAGATTCTGCTTATGTAGACTCTTAGTATACTAAAAGAGAATAAGTTTATTAAATTTACTTATACCTTCTTTTCATCTTACGTTAATTGTTTTGTTTTGTAAGGTTAGACATATACTATGCGAAAAACAATCGAAAATTTTGGAAGCAATGGAGAAATTAAAAGCTGGACAGAAGTTTAATGAAGTTGCAGCTACATACAGTGAAGATAAAGCACGATCTGGGGTAAATTTATTTCAAATACATTACAATTTTATTTAGAAGTTAATTGGTTTGATAATTATTTAAGGGCGATCTTGGGTGGATGACAAGAGGCTCCATGGTTGGTCCATTTCAAGAGGCTGCATTTGCATTGCCTGTTTCTTCTCTTAATTCTCCAATGTATACAGACCCACCAGTCAAAACAAAATTTGGTTATCATATTATAATGGTAGAAGGCAAAAAGTAAATAGTTTACTGTAAGTTTTTATATGTATGGATAATGTTACAAAATTAATAATAATTTATGAAACAAATATATTTATGTATAATATGTAGACAGACACTTTGATTCCTTTTTGTATTTACATTTAAATACTCTGTTGTGCAATAAATGACAAAGTAATCCAAGTATGATGAGCTTATATATATATATATTATCAAAATAATCAACAAAATTTGTAAGAAGAAATATAAATAATGTGTTTATTATCATTTACAATATACAAATTGTAAGTTAGCACAAGTAAAGACATCTTTAAAAATATAAGGCTATCTTTATAACATAAATATTGTAGTCTCCAAACATACTAAAACAAGTATAAATACAATACAGTAAATAACATTCTATACTGGTACAAGAAAATGGCAGATGATCTCTTACATGATATCGAATGAAACTAATTACCCATAGTCATCCCTAGGATGTACTCTATCAGAGTAAGATAACAAGAAAAGAGAATGATAAGAAAGGAACATGAAAACGGCTGACAAAGAGACAGTCACCTTTGATATCTCTTACCCTTACTTTAACAGTTAAGTCATGCAACACCTGTATAGAGATAGTGAAGGCACAAATAATTGTCCTCTAAGTAGACAAAAAGTTTGGTATTTGTTTAACAAATAGAATTATTCAATTTGTGATTAAGTTACTACAGCTACTTTTCTTTGTATTTTGTATTGATATTAGATGCGGATATTAGGATTAGTGAAGTGAACATATTTTAGTAGAGAATCATTTTCTTCGCAAACCCATGGTTTTTTATGATGGCAAGCAACATCATGCCAGTTTACTCCATCATTATAAAACTGATTAAGTACGGCTAAACAATTTTCTGGAGCACCTCCTTGTTGAATAGCTTCACGATTATCAGGTTGAGGTTTTCCAATACTAGAAAAAAAAATTATTACTTTTAATCCTTAATTTTAAATTACTAGAGAATAAATCAAATTAAATTTACCCGCCACTTTCTGACCAGTCATTCTGAGATCGATCGGTAGTCGGTGCAAGTTTCTGTAATTCAGCTGTCCAGAACCAACCATTAACATGAAGGGGCTGAAGATCAGGCCTATCGCAACCTTTGAAATCACAAAGACGACCAGATGTCCAAATATATTTCACTTTATCTGGAAATCATAATTATTACTTGGGCCATTCTTCAATTTTGTGTTTCTAAAATATAGAAAATATCATGAATTATTCTTATACTTTGAACAATGCGACTCTTGATGAACTCGTTTTCTGCTGAAGTTTCTAAAGATACAAGATCCATACATCTTTGTCTACAAAAGTTTCTCCCTGCCAACCAATCAACTTCTTGCCCATTTGTTCTGGGATCAGCCCACGAGTAATAATAACCTTTGCCGTTAAAGCGTTCATGAATAATTCCTGAAACATCGTGATTTATACATTTTTAAGCATTGTAATAATATTTGCTTAAAAATTATTTGAATGTATACTATGATAGTCGAATTTTCAACCTACTCTATCATAATAATAATATATAATATATATTATTATATAATATTTTATATGTACTTAATGTAAGAAAATATACATTTAGAATTAATATATATTTATAATATAATTAATATCTTTAATAATATTAATATAAATCATTTAACATTACAAAAAAATCAAAGCGGTATTAAATTAGTGTTTTCAAATGCTGATTGGCGCGCATTGACTCTAATTTTATATAAAAAGAATAGAAAACAAATTTTATTAAAAATTTGCATAAAGCCTGTTTATTAAAGTATGTATATTAGCTTTCGAATAAGATATTACAAGTATAATTTCTAATTATTCATTATTTCCGTGGAAACCATTTATATTTGAACCCAATATTTGAAATCCTCCTTCATTTATATTTTACTCTCGATCGTGACAAAGATTCTGCCTCTCCCAAAGTGAAAGTTACTAATTCTGTGCCGCTTGTAATTTTAGATATTACAGTCACGGCTTAAATATTGGCATCGTACGGTGTATGTTAATTATACAAACGACTTTCTCGAAGAAAGAAGAAGAAAGTTTGTCACAGTTAATGCGGGATATACAGGGTGTCCCATCGAAGGTGTTACGCGTTTTTCCAAACTATTTAAGGTAGCGAGTAGCGGTTAAATTTTGTTTTTATACATTGCAAGATACAGTTATAAAAACTCACTAAGGCATATTGGATATTTTATATGATAAATAAGGTATTATTGTTTGAATCGTAATCGAATATTGCCTTATTTATTAACTAATCAACTTAAAACAACGATGAAAGTATTCAATTTCATATTTTATAGGTTGGAATTAACGTTAACTGATTAAAATTTACTAAGAAAGGTTTGTCAATTTTTATTCTCATGTCGTGCAGGCCAGTTATATTATACACGCAATATTTGTGCAATTACGAAAGAGTAAGTTTCATTTATCCATATTTTACTACCAGCTTTCTTGTTTAGCAAACTTGTAACCATCATATTTTATTTAACAAAACTTTAAGGAAATAATTGTAAAGGTATGTGATCAATAAATTCAAATTATAATAAGTCGTACTTGTTATGAATTAGCATAGAAGTATGCTCAAATTATTCTATCTTTATGACGTTTCAAATTTATAAAGATCAATAACATTAAACTGTTACAGTTCTGATATTAATTGTCCATATTTACGAAAAAAGTGTAAAGAAGACTCACTACATAATGTTTTTATCATAAAAAATACTATATTTCTAAATAAAGACTGTATTCATATAGGTATATCACTTACTTTGAGCGCAAAGAGCAGGAACTGGTGGTTCCAAAATTCTCCCAGTAGATTGGAACTGTGCCGTTGATAAAGCAAAGAGTGTTGCAAGTATAATGAATCCCAACATTTTTCTCAATTATTATTTTTCATAAAATCTAAACATATTACATATATTATGTTATTATATGTGCGATTACAATTTTAAATAGAATTTTATTATTATATATTTTTAGCACAATCAAAAAAAACATAATTTCAAGAACTTTTAACAATTTTTTTCCAAGTAATTAATAATTTCTATTAATAAAACTTTTACTGGGTTTGCGTTTGTAAATACTCCTTTACATTTCGTTTTGGTTCACTGTTTAATATTTAAATTAATTTAACTTACTAAGTTAAGTAAAATTGATTTTATTTGTAAGTGACTATTACGATTGTACGAAATATGAAGTTAAATTAAATTATTAATTCCGATTTATAATTGTAAATTTTTTATATGATTTGATTACCAAGGTGTTAATATAAAATATTAGAAAACACACCAGAATCGTATGTATTTCGTGACATCAAATTAGCGGTGCTCACCTAAAGACGTTCTCCAAAGAACTGAGCGCTTTCCTCAGAAGCATCCCTATATATATATGTATATTACAACGGGGACATCGTGTCAGTACTTTTACGATGGACAAGCATTTTCGAGGAACACTCGAATAATTTTGTATGCTCGGTTTCGTCCAAACAAATCTTATCGTCTCCTTCCTCGTTTGTTAACATTTCGAATTTAGCTGTACTAGAAATCGTAATAAATACGTGACAAGAAAATCAGTGCATAAAATAATATTGATAGAAATTTTTTTTTATTGTATACAAATTTAAGTAAGCGTGATAAGTAATTTTAAGAATTTTCTTCGATATATCTTCCGCAATTTCGTATGTAAACGAAAACCAGATTTTACAGCTTACGTTTTCATGTACATCATAACGACTTTATATGAATTATTAAAAGAATAAATTAAAGCGAATGATATGAATCAAATAGTTCTTTCTACACAAACATATTTCGAATTTAAATGTTTATGTTCATTAACCTTTTCGATACTTTAATCATTTTGTTTAACTACAAATTCAGAAACAAGTGTAGGCGTATCCCAATACATACGTTGCCAGAGTAATAAAAATCTATTTCAATTTTTTTTTGTTAATGTTAATTATCGATCACAAATATGTATGCTTAAACAATTTCGAACATGTTTAGCTAAAAATCAATAACACATGATTTATTTTATTACTTTTCAAACTCATATTTCCAAAATACCTTTAGATCGGTAATCGAGAACGTTTCAGGTACCGTTAGACATAATAATTTTAAAAGGTGATGTAGGTGACCTGGAAACCCAAAAAGTAAACCACGACGATTGAACGAATACGATTTCTTTCAATCATAAACATATCGATGAACTAATTTGAAAACTTTGATAAAGAACAAGTTTTCTAGCATGAGTAGACACCATTTTAGCAACATTCCTAGTAGGTAAATGTTTCAATAATATACGCCCTCATATCGCACAGTCTTTTACAAAACTATGAATACGAAGCTTACAGCAAGTACAAGAAGTAATGTTAAGTGAATATTCTTTGAACACGTGTAATTAATTTTAAAATTTAATAAGTGTAATTACGATTAATTTAGCTTCTTTAGATATTGTTAACTATATTATTAAGTAGTTTTCAGTTCAGGAAATTAAATATACTTCTAAAAAATTTATTATGTTCATTAGAAATCGGTTAAATAAATCTTTAAGGAATTTAGGCTAGAGAGATGTATATATGTTATGAAAAATTTCTTACAGATCTAAACATTTCACGTTTGAATTACTATTTCTAACTCTGAAGGTCTGTGACTCCGCCAAAATTTAGGCGTTTTTGTAATTGACCCAATCGAAATTTCTCTTTAACGTGATACACGCATCGCATGCTTCGAATAACATAGGTATACGTTTTCGGTTAATTATTTAAATGTCTCTGGACAATCATAAATCAGGCGCGAACTTTCTGTCCATGCATACTTTCGAACTCACAAATATGGCCGCCGCTACTGCCTGCTTGGCCTGTTCTCTATCAGTGATACAAGAAGTTATACCTCAAAATCAATTAAACAATCAATTAGATGTAGTAATGATGAGAAACTCGTTTATTACTTCATATAGGAGTCACACATAAAAAGATACAAACATATTAATAATACAATTTTTTGTAGTATCATATAAAAATATTTATATAGTGCTTGCTGATTGCCATCCTCATCAATCACTTTAAGGCTGCGTAGGAGCTATAGCTTATAGCTTTTTGTGTTTGATCTTGTTGTACTGTCATACCCTTCTTGACCAATAAAGATGCCACTATCGCTTTTATTCCTTCTTGTAAATACTGTGAAGTGCTTGCAGAATATATAAAATCACGAATTGATGTACCATGTAATACAAGATAATCCCGAATTTCGTTCAACAATTCCTCTCTTTCTTTTGTGGTTAATTTATACATAAGGATGTTTGGGACAGATTCGTATTTTCCATTCGCTGCGTAACCTGCCAGAAGACTGCCAGCTACACCTCCTAAAAATGGACATCTTTGTATCATTATATTTTGTACAATTACATTAAGTATTTAACATAAACAATAATTACCAACTATAAACCCTGTACGCCCACCAAGAATACTAGAAACAATTGTTGTTGCTCCAACAATTGTTCCATATTTGACTGCCGACTCAACACTGGCTTTCATTTGTTTAATACAATCAAGATGTAAAACTTTGTTCAAGAACATGTTGTCAGCCATTTTTGAGAATATCTATAGTATTCTATATTATAGAATATAAATATAGTATTTGAAAGTTTTAATTTTACCAGATCCTGTTATATTTATGGATTATCTTCAACTATGTTTTACTTATGGCAACCTGAAGTCCTGAAGTAGACTGCATTGCAACTGTCGAAGAACCCAGTTAATAAATGGCGGAACCGGGAATACCCTGAACCAGTTTCTTGAAAATACAATATGCACAGTGAAGATAAAAGGGATGTCAAGCAGCAGTGTTGCCATCTTAGATTGTGACATCAAAAGAAGTCGTACTTACATGTAGTTACGTGAGAACTCTCCTTTATTGTACACAGTAAATTGTGCGCAAGGTTATAACGTCGAATTTAAAAATACAAGTTATTTCGGGATAATGTTACTGTTTTAAAACTGGTAAGATAATTATATACCGAGTTAATGATGATGTACAATTTACTTTTGTTATACGCTTTGAAAAATCATTGATATTGACTAAATTTTAGTTACTGGAACACAATGTATTCTTATTACAATATTCAATATACTAGCAATGTTATTATTAGCGGTTTTATAAGATCAATATAAAATCTTAAAAATTTAATTATTTAGTACGCGTGTGTTTGAAGTTTCAATTAAATGTAACATATAACATTCATATGTCTATAGTTACTTGTATTACTTGAGAAATAAAGTTTTGTATACAAAAGATATTGCCATACATTTTTTATTTGATTTTTCAAGTAGGTTCAACTTCTTTTTGGTTGTACACTCAGTTTAGAAATACCTTGTGTATCAGTTTATTGTCTAAGAGAAGTTTTTCTAATTATTGAAGGAATTTAACAATAATCAACTGATATTTTCAATTATATCAACTGATATATTTTATCATTTCAATCAGGTGATGTAATCGAAAAGCACTAGAAAAAAAACATTTTTAAGTAATGGCTCTTGCTAATATCTCTGGTATCCCTGATAAACACTGGCAACCACCGTTTGTAGCGCTTGAAACTACGTAAGTACAAAAAAATTCTTTTTTAAGTTAAATTGTAATTTATTAAAGGAACACATTTTCACTTATTAAAGGTTTCTGTTTTACAGAATGGGTGAACTAGTTATTGAGCTTTATTGGAAACACGTACCAATTACATGTAGGAATTTTGCTGAACTTACACGACGTGGATATTACAATGGAACAAAATTTCATAGAGTCATTAGGGATTTCATGATACAAGGTAGTGTATTAATATATTTTTGTTTATCAACTTAAAAAGTTGATGTAACATGCTCTGGATGTACCAAGTAAAATTTGTTGTTATTAGATTTTTGTTTGTGAGGGAAATCTTTAAAAGACATCTCTGTTCTTTTGAGAAACGTCAGGGATTATGTGGGATTCTTCGCATCGCTCGCACATCAGTGCGGACATATTTATTACTAAAACGCTCCTGGTGTATACTAATTTTTAAATAAGCATCTTCCGTCATACTTATGGAGACATTAAAGCACAAACTTTTACAAAAGATTGTTATTTCAGGCGGAGATCCTACGGGAACAGGAAAAGGTGGTGTATCTATTTATGGAGAATGTTTCGACGATGAAATACACGATGATTTAAAACATACAGGTTTGATCATCATAAATGATATTTGTTTAATTTACACAAGAAAATATCAAATTCGCTTTGAATTTTCTTTTCAAATACATTTGATTTAGGTGCTGGGATAGTATCAATGGCTAATTCTGGACCAGACACTAATGGATCACAATTTTTTATTACATTAGCACCTACACAGTGGCTTGATGGGAAACACACCATTTTTGGTAAATTAGTTGTAGCTCATAGTATTTTAAATATTTATTTTAGATATGATATTTTCAGTATAAACAAATTTTGTTTAGTGCAATGAATACTTAGTAATTTTTCTTTCTGATAATAGGTCGAATTCATACAGGTATGGCAATAGTAAAGAGGATTGGTTTAGTTGAAACTGATAAAAATGATAGACCTGTTGATGATATAAAAATTGTTAAAGGATCTGTAAGGAATGCGTAATAAAATAAAAACACTTTATTATTTATATTTATTGGTTTTACATTACGAACAATTTTTCATTGCGAATAATAACGAGCTAATCGGCTGCGAAATAATAATAAGATCTTTAGATATAAAAATAAATGGTACATTATAAGAAGAGGAAATTTCTCTATGTATACTTTAACATGCTTTACATTCACACAGACTTTCTGTAAAGTATTTACAAGGTATTTGGTGAATGCGTAACATAGACGTAAACAATCGTTAAAATAAGAACCACCCTACTGTACATACACGTGAAAAAACATCCATCTGTCATTATAAATCATAAAGTATACATCTACCATTGAAAATGTTTACGGTATAACATAGCTGTGTATAAAGACCTGAATGTGTAAGCATTCGAGATGAATACGCGTTGCTACTGATACTTTATCTCTCTTTTTATTCTGACATTTCTAAGTGTAAGTGGACAAATCTTTTGACCGCTATTTTCTTGTCGGTCAAATGGATCAATTGCCCGCGATTTTAATACGAGCCAAGTGCATATATAGCAAAGTGTTACATAAGTTTATGATAACTCGTTAACCTATGAGCAAATACTGACAACTGTCTTGGAAATATGTTTTTCTCAGTAATCTGAACGACGTCTCGGTGGATTATTAAGTTTATTTCATTCCAAGTCGTAAGAAGGTTCTACCGACAACAATGAAGAGCTTAATTAATTCAATCGACGATGCTGTCACGGAAACTCTGTTTGGTTTATCTTACTCTTATCCGCAACTCGAGTATCAAGTATCACACAAAGTCGTTCTAATGCCAAACGTACGTATGTAACTTTATTGATTTCATTCGTCGATTGCAAAAACTGCGATAATTTGTTTTGATGTAAATGTAGATTTATTCAGATGAATTGTAATTTAGCTCGAGAATCGAAAGAATAAAGTTTCTATTATATGCGGCGGAGGAAGTGGACATGAACCTTTTGGAGCAGGTAACTTTACATTTTATGTAATAGATACGAACAAAAATTCGTATATAATTTACTAACAAGAATATTAAAACTTTACAATATTTTTGTACCATCTCTAGCCAATATTTTTAAGATACTGTATTTAAACAATAGACTTTCTATCATCACTTTTGTAATAAGTCCGTATTTTTGCTCCTACTTCTTCACCCTAATTTAATTTCACTCTAAAAGGTTTACAAAAAGTTTTGCATTACTAATGCAAAGTCTGAAATATTGTTATATTTGATATCCAATTTGACGTGGAGTGACCTTGTAATTATTATACGTGCGCTAATTGCCGGAGGTGAGATTAGTCAAGGTAATGTAGGGTGCAACACTGAGATTGATATCAAGTATAAGTTATTCATTCCATTACATTTTTATAAATTTAACAATTGTACACTGCATACTCCATAAAAATATAAGCTCCATAGAAATTATTCAAATAACATCTGACTCTACTTCTAACGCGTTTCTATCCCACGTCAGTATATATATAGAAGAATCGAATTTTCGTAAACAAGTTAAATTCCACGCTAACTAGCGCCGATACAGAATAAGATATCAATATTAAATTACCACATTTTTCTTAACTTAAAGGTTTTGTTGGAAGTGGTATGCTAACTGCTTCTGTAGCAGGTTCCATATATGCTGCACCACCATCGCAACACATTTCCTATTGTATCGAACGTGTTACGCAACATACTCAAGGTAATTTCAAACAAATTTTTATTTTTAACCGACTTCGAAAAGGAGGAGGCTACTCAACTCGACATGTATATACAGGGTGTCCCAAAAATGTTGTAACACCTTGAAAGAGGTGGTTCAGGAGGTAATTTCAAACAACTTTTTCCTTAGCGAAAATGTTGTCCGAGGTTTCGTTAAGAAGATATTAAGTGAAAATCCCGACCAATCAGAGCGCGAGTATGCCAGTTGAGTGTAGGCTATGCGTTAGGCGGCTGCGCTCATACGCTACCACGATCGCTGCAACGGTATACGCGCGCTCTGATTGGTCAGTGTTTTCCGTTAATATCTTCTTAACGAAGCCTCGGACAACATTTTCGCTAAGGAAAAAGTTGTTTCAAGTCACCCCCCAAACCATCCCTTTCAAGGTGTTACAACATTTTTGGGACACCCTGTATATATATATTCTTTTTATTTTAATTATTTTCTTTTATGTAATTAAAAATGTATATTATTAATGTCGTGTACGCTATGAGTGCTATATGTTTTCAGCTGGCGTTTTGGTAGTGGTACCGAATTATACTGGTGACTGTCTCAATTTTGGGATAGCGATCGAAAAAGCAAGACAAGCAGGGTTGAAGGTGCGATAAGGAGACAAGTAATACATTGCGTTATAAATATTTGCGTACTCCTTCAATTTCTGATATATTTTCTGGTATAAATTAGTTCGAAGATTTCATGATTTAAATTAGATATCGTTTTCAATTTTAGGTAGCAGAGATAATTGTGAACGAGGACTGCAGTATACCGAATAAGGATGTAGGCGTTGCTGGTAAACGCGGATTAAGTGGGCTACTATTTGTTAATAAAATAGCCGGCGCGCTGGCTGAAAGAGAATTACCCCTTGAAGACATTCATACAATTGCGCAGAATGTTTTAGAAAATATGGCTACTTATGCAGTTGGATTAACTACATGTGCTATACCTGGTTAGCATTTAAATATAATTTCCTGTAGACCATGCTGTAAAAGCAATGGATCTTGATACTTTATCGACTGCTAACGTTTGGAGCGTAACTACAGCGCCAATATAAATAAACGAGTTTTTCTCTATTCTTTACAGCCACTCCTCGATTACGTATTACATGCGATTTAGTACAGTCTTGTATAGGATTAATTACGTCACTTATGCATACAGGAAACTTAAACGTACATCATACAGATCAATATGTAAAATGAACATTATCGATCTATATTTTAGGGCAACCGCCAATGTTTGAACTTGCGGAAGACGAAATAGAATGTGGAATGGGGGTTCATGGAGAAGCTGGATACGAGAAGATGAAATTAAGAACGTGTAACGAAGTGGTTTCATTCATGCTGAAACGTATCTGTGATTCGCTACCCCTAGTTAGCGGGGATTCAGTTGCGGTAATTGTTAATAATTTTGGAGCGCTTAGCCAGTTGGAACAAGGAATCGTTATTCATGATTTGACGAACCAGCTTCGTAAGTCGTAGCTATCGTTGCCTAATGTGCATTAGGTGTAAAAATTAACACGTTGACTACTAGACTAACAATCGTGAGAATGTCTGTAATTTCTTATAAATTTTTATTCATACAGGGAGCATGGATGTAAAACTTTTGCGCTTGTACTCTGGACTCCTGATGACGTCGTTAAACAGTGCTGGAATACATATTACCGCTTTGAAATTGCCTGAATGCCATAAAGAGATATTTATCAGATGTCTCGACGATCCTACTAGCGCGCCACGATGGCCAGGTTGTGCATATAGTATTCCTTTGGAAAATAAACAAATAATTCCCGAAGATAAAGTAACACGAAGTATACAGCAGGTTGGGATACAAATTAATACACAATTGCAAAACCTACTGAAACAGTGTTTAAAGAATGCCTGTGAAAGCATAATTGAAAAAGAAACTTTGATCAATGATCTGGACAGAGGCTGTGGTGATGGTGATTGTGGTACAACACTCAAAAGGCTTGCTTATGGTATGTACTTAATAATACAACGAAATTCGATGTTAACGTGAAATAATCGCGTTCAAATTTTTTTCTGCGCGTAAAAAAATAATAGTAAAAATCAAGTTCTTGTTATCATCTCCATTGTTATGTTATGTAGATATTTGTTTTCAGAGATTTTGCAAGGCTTAGATAATTATTATTTATCGCATCCTTCGTCCGTTTTTTCCGAATTGGCTCACATTGCTGAAGAACAAATGGGTGGCACATCTGGTGCATTGTATTGCTTATTTTTTACTAGTATTGCCACAGAATTAGTTTCTGCTCAACCAACAGAGGGTTGGTTACACATCGTTGCGCGAACGTTACGCAGTGGTTTAAATTGTTTAATAAAATATGGGAAAGCTAAACCAGGAGATAGGTCCATGGTATATATCCGATTTTTATAATTTCATTTTTATATTAGCAACAAAATTTTAGAACAAACTAAAATTGCAAGATTAACAAGTGAATCCCATTAATTCTATTGAATTTTTTAAATATTTGCTTATTTTATATTATTATAATGATATAGTATATTATATTATTGGAAGATGTAAATGAAAATTATAATTCACCCTGAATATAGTTCATATCCACAACCAGTTTTTTTTTTAATAACAAATGATCTTGTTGTATAATAAAAACCCCCATTTTTTAAACAAATTTTAAATAATTCTTTTTGGAAACATTGTGGATATCTTTAACAATTTGTGGTTTTCTAGATTGATGTGATCAATGCTGTTTGCGAAACATATGAAAAGATGTTGCATAACCAATTGGTTGAAATATGTACTGCTGTGAAAACAGCAGCTTGGCAAGCATGTGAAGCAACAAAACATATGGAGCCCAAGTATGAAATAATTATTTGTATATGTACAGAAATGAATATGAATCTGAATATTTTTAACACTGATACTCAGTATCATCTATGAATGACTGTAATCATGACATATACAGTACTATTTTTTTACAGAGTTGGACGAGCTAGCTATGTAAAACAACTTCAATATCTGCAAAATGTAGATGCTGGTGCACATGGAGTTGCCACATGGATTGGTGCCATTACTGATGTAATTAAGAGTATAAAACCCTAATCTTAAGCAATTAATTAATAAAGTATTTTACACTAATCTTTTACATTCTCTTTATTTATGATGAAGATACATTAATACCCTTGCTAATCCTTCAATCTAATCAAGAATTCAATGTTAATAGAATTTGCCCCTTTGTATCAAATAACCGTTGGAAAAATTTCAAGGCTGTAAACCCGCAATTAATAAATGTGTATTATATATAATTCTACGTACTTGATTACTAACAGCTTTAACACGCAAACACACCCGTGATAAACTCTTAGTTTTTCCTGATTTTCCCTATTTTCGCTACCACGTCACCCACGTCCTGTATGGCTTTTTTATGGGGAGTGCGCATGGTAATGGCACCAGGACACTACTAACTAAAAGGTTAATAATTATTGTTGTAATAAATAACTACTCATAGAAATGATAAATTGTGACATATTAACTATTGTATTACAGTGTTATAAAGCAAAGAATCTTATTAATTATGCATTTATGGAAAAAAATGATAGTATTGGTGGCGCCATCGGTGAGAAAACGCCCAAGCTTGTAGTGAATATAGTTCTAGCTATTACCGGTAGATGGCACAAGTAATTAAATGTTTAATTATTATTACTGTATTAAATAACTTTATATTAACTACTTTATATTAACTCATGTATTGTAATGTTAGAAAGCAAAGGATCGTATTAATTACGCATTTGTGAAGAAGGAAGTATAATTGATCAGTGGCGTCATCGGTGGGAAAACGCCCAAGTTTGTATTGCAAACCTATCCATTTACATATTGTTACCGATGCATGTCGGTGCATAACCATAATGTGGTAAACGCAATGTAATTAGTGCCATCTAGCAGTAAACGAAGGAACTATTCGAGGACAAACTTGGGCGTTTTCCCGGTGGAGCGCTGAACGTACATCGGAATTTTAGTTCGACCTGTTCACCGCTAGATGGCGCACTGTTGGAACGCGCGTAATTTGAATTAGTTATGCGAACATTGAAAATCATTCCTTTCAACATGTTTTTATCTATACCTTTTGATATTTTTTTCTTTCGTTCTTAGGTAATTAAATTTTGTTTCATTTGATGCATTTTAAAATAGCTGCTCTATATATGCATGCACGTGTATGCATATGCACTGTTCCGTTTAGTTCTCCGCAGTGAGACGTGGCGATCCAAGCTTTTCCTTGATAGTGATCATATCACTACACTGAACTACTAACAGTGCAACTACATATAACGTGAAAACGATCCTGCACGTTCAATGTTGTTTTAAAACTGCGACAATGTAGGTTAGAATTGTTATAATACAAATATCAGTTAATGGAATTTAAATAACCATCAAATTAATGGCATATTATCTTTCTTTTAAACAGATTTACAGTAATTTATGTACTAAATTTCTTTACTATAAATTGTGTAAATAGTACACAAGATAAAACAAAATGAGACAACAAATAATTGATACGAAAATCAGTTCTCATACGTCTGGAGAAGCTGATGAATGTCTTTTTGAATATTTGCATACAGAAATGGTTAATTATGCACTCAGCAAAACAGTTAATAAAAAGGTAATAGTAACATAAACAACAATGAACTTCAAATTATTCGATGAATATTATATTAATTTAGAATGGGGTTATATTGTATGATTTTAATAAATATAGTTGTAAACATTTGCTTTTTATGAATATAATACCTATTTCTTATTTATAACATTTAAAATATGAAGGAAAAGGAAGAAGAACTTTGTCGACTAGAATGGATGGGATTCAGTGTTGGATACAGAATCATTGAACGATTGACACGAGAATGGAGTCGATTTAAAGATGAGTTGGATATGATCAAATTTATTTGTACTGATTTTTGGACCAGTCTTTATCATAAACAAATTGATAATTTAAGAACAAACCACCATGGTGTATATGTATTGCAAGACAACTCATTTCGATTATTAGATAAAGTCGGTACCAATAGTAATAAGCAGTATCTTCAAGAAAGTCCACGTTTGTTAGCATTTACTTGTGGACTTTTAAGAGGGAGTTTAGCAAATCTTGGAATTATTAGTACTGTTAATGCTGAAATTTCCACATTACCAAGTTGTAAATTCCATGTACAAGTGCAACAAATGTAACTATTATTTTAATTATCTATTAATTAGTATATATACAATAAAAACTAGAAACAGATTAGTAAACTCTTTTATAAGCAAGAGAAACAGAATAAATGATGCCCTTTGTACCTAATGTATCATTGTATATTATTTAATAATACACAAACATATATATGAGATATAACTTGTGCTAATGTTATATGTATAACTATGTGTGATCAGTAACATAGAAAATTGTAAGTTTGTATTTACATATAAATAATTACAGTTGAGTTAAATAAATTTACTACAGTATTCAAATGTTATGAGCAAATTTTATTCATCTCATTTAATTACAAAAAAAATTATGCAAGAAGTGATATAAATATTTTATTTAATCTTCATTAATTGTATAATTCAGTATAAAATGCATGTAAATTATTTCTTTTCCATTACCAAAAGTAAAAATAAAGAATATAAAAAAGAACAATTAGTATAATAATCTATGATAACCTTATAACGATATATCTTATGTTTTAAGAAAATTACATCCAGTTCTAGAGTACTTAGTTTAATATGTGACTAGTTATTAGATTCCATTGTACCATTACTTTTAGTAATATGTTTTAAAATATGTGACTGGTTTACAATACCAACAAAAGTATGATCACCTTCATTACTCACAATAACTGAATATAATTCTTTTTCAAGAACGCGCGATAATTGTCCAAGACTTGCTGAAAGCTTAACTTTGACATAATGTTTAATCATAGCTTTTTCTACTAAATCTGTTAGTTTTACTGAGCCAGATAGTAAATTAGACATTAACGTATCCAATATGATGACACCTTGTACATGTTTGTTATCATTACTAACAACTAATTGTTGAGACTTTGTTTTTTCAAAGATATGAACAGCTTCTTGACATGTTTTTGTACTCTCCAACAAAGGTACTTTGTCGAAAGATAAATTTGAAATTGGCATATCCCACCACCATTTGTTTGCCTCAACTTGGCACTTAGATTCCTATAATTTGTTATTACAAAATATAACTATTCGTAGGCTATTATAATAAAACTTGAAAACTTACTAAGAATCCCCTAACTTCCATCCAATGGTCAGATACAAATTTAGTCATGTAATTTCGTATTCCGTCGGGTAAAACAAGAACGACTCGTTTCCCTTCAGGTAGATCTTTAGCTACTTGAAGAGCAGCTACAAGAGCAGCACCACTACTACCGCCGCATAGCAAACCCTCCTGACGTATAAGCATTCTAGCAGCATTTAATGATTCACAATCCTCAGTTTTTATCCATCTATCGATTACATTATGATCCAAAACTGTAGGTATAAAATCGTAGCTAAAAATAAATTTCTTGATTATTAAAGATTCAAAGGAAGGCTATATCTTCGTTAAAATAGGGGAAAAAATGTAGGTTACCCAATTCCTTCTACTTCATAAAAATCAGCATCATCTTGTAATTCAGGTGATTGAGCTAAGATACTTCCTTTAGGATCCACAGCAACAATTTTTGTATCAGGTGATAATTCCTTTAGTTTTCGTCCAATACCAGAAATGGTACCACCAGTACCTGCACCTGCTACTAAGTAATCAATTTTTCCATCACATTGATTCCAAATTTCAAGTGCAGTTTGATCGTAATGAGCCAATGGATTTCCAGGATTAGTATACTGAACATATACACAGTATTAGTAGAAAATAAGTAATTATTTGATATTTATGTATATAATATACCTGATCAAGAACAATGCTATTTGGTATTTCTTTTTGTAACTTATGTGCAACATTAATATGTGCTTCTGGACTGTTCCAACTTGCTTCTGTTGGTGTCCTAATTATTTCAGCACCAAGTGCATGAAGTGTGTACACTTTTTCATTAGACATTTTTTCAGGCATGACAATAATGCATCTGTACCCTTTAACAGCTGCAGCCATTGCTAATCCAATTCCGGTGTTACCACTTGTAGGTTCAATAATGGTATATCCTGGTTTCAACAACCCCTGGTCTTCTGCATCTTGAATCATTCTGTATGCAATTCTATCCTTCACAGAGCCACCAGGATTAAAGAATTCACATTTTGCATCTACAAATTAAATTATATGATTATCTTACATTTAAATTATGTACAATTGTAGCACTAACACATTTCACACTTAATTCCATGAGATTTAGGGATAGTGTTTAATTTTACAAGTGGTGTTTGCCCAATGGTTGTTAATATATCAGGCATCACTTTGTTACGATCAGCAACTCTAAAATAAACAATTAAAGTCATAAATAAAATCTGAATAGTAAAAGTAATATTATAGATGAAAATATAATTATATACCGACATACTTACTCTGTTCTTAACGTATGTGGTGAATTTGTTGCATTTGGTTTCCATGTGCACCGACTAGGTCGATTAGGTTGTGCGGATTCCATTACTAATTTTTTGATTTCACTTCAAATAAAGTTCTCAAACGTACAAAAGAAGATGAACAAATTATTTTTGGATCTGACGTAGAGTAACAATATAGAAGTATTTAAATAATAGTGTTTATAATTCTAATGAAAGCAATATGTTATTACCGGTTACATGTAACCTCTGAGACTATTATTAATGACTGTAAGAATTCATATGTTTATTAACGATATAATATAACGAATCGTGATTATTGAAATTGTACGTTGTTGTACGTTGATTTTTTACTTACTTTGATTAATATGTAATTAATTAATATCACACCCAAAATGCCGCTTATGGAATGTAAAATATATCGATATCAATGAATTCGGCAGTGTTCACACTGGTTCATACGAATTCTCATGTGTATATCGCATTGAAAATGTTGAGTTGAAATGCGAAATTCTAATTTTTTCGATATAATATTGTTAAATAAAAAAATCTATGACATATATTTAATACTTTTATGAACAGTTTTGCTTTTTTATATATTCGAAATTATATTATTTGAATAATATATAACAATGAAATATTATAATTATAAAATTTATTTATATACATTCATAAAATAATCTATCCATTTCATATCATATTTTTGAGATACGGATCTATGCATTCAATTTGTTTGATATCAATTTTTTATCAATTTTCATGCGCAGCTGTTAACCGGAACAAAGACTGTACTGATTCAATATGGAGGAACATTTTTGATACGCGCACTGTTTTCTATTTTGTTTTAAAAAGTGTAAAACATTGATAAAAAATTCGTTAAGACAGTGCTAAGTTTATGGTTATATAAGAATATGTTACAATGCTATTTTGCATGTACTGAGAAAATTGACGTGTGCTTCATAACAATCTACATTTTTGTGTGAAATGAATTATCTGTACGATGACGATACTTATTTTGCAAAAGTCACACGTATGTTGTCTTTTCAAAATGTAATTACGATAAAATCAAGGCACTGTGTCATTGTTAACTATTAATCAAGCTATACTGTTGTTGTTTGGTAAAATTATCGTGATAATATAATAACATTGTGACAAGTTCACAGATACATTAAACAATATTTATGACAACACTGTATAATTATTATGTTTGAAGTGGAATCTCTTCAAAAATATCCAACGTCAAGCATGTACGTATTTTTACAGTAAATGTGTGTTAAGTCTCATTGTATACAATTTAAATTTCCTTGTATTTTTCTTATCACGTTTTTTAGCATAAAAGCATTGTTTTAACATATTTTCATATTTATTTTGCAATATTATTGTAATAGGAATAAGTCAGTGGAGGATTTGTTGATATCTAGTCGTGAAGTAATGAGTAACATAAACTCAGCTGGATTGGAAAATCAAAATTCAGCGACAAATATGGGAAATGGTGTATCAGATAATATTGAAGATGTACTTACTGGAGTGTGTGGAGAACGATGCAGTCCAGTTTCAAGTCCGAATTTATCTCCACGTCCTAGTCCAAAAGCTCGCAATAAACGAGATCATTCTAAAGTAAACTCAGATTCAGCTCTTAAAGAATCTAACAATGTAAACAAATTGGATGAACATCAAATGAATGTGAGATTTTATATATTTTGTTATTATAATTTGTATTATCTTTTAAATTTTGTGTTATTATTTGCTATCAATTATTATTATTATTATTATTATTGTTTGGGATTAATAACAGGATGCAGCTAATAAATCATCAGATTCTTCACAAGCTGTAAAAATTTCACATGAAGGAAAGAAAGAAACACGTGGTAGTGAGCGAAAAAAAAAGCCATCTTGGTACAATGTTTTGTATCCAACCTATAAATCTAGATCTGAGGATTTTAAGCGAATATTTAAAGATGTACCAGATGATGAAAGATTAGTTGTTGGTAAGTGACTTTTTAGGTTTCATTGTTCAATGACTCACTTATGCAGTAAAATGTACTTTCAATATTGACAAGTAATAGAAATGATTTTGAAAAAATTATATATATATATATACATATATATATCACAATGTGTGATTTTTAGATTATTCATGTGCATTGCAACGTGAAATATTAGTTCATGGGAGGCTTTACGTTTCACAAAATTATGTATGCTTTTATGCAAATATCTTCAGTTGGGAAACCTTAGTATCTTTGCGTTGGAAGGATGTTACATCTATTACCAAAGAGAAAACTGCCCTTGTTATTCCTAATGCAATTTCAATATGCACTGCCACTGATAAGTTTTTTTTGACATCATTTGGTGCAAGGGATAAAACATATGTAATGCTATTTCGTGTTTGGCAAAATGCTCTTATTGGTGAGGTATGGCAATTTTATATAAAATATGAACAATTCAACAATTTATTTAAATTATTTTTGTACAGAACTCGTATATTACAGTATATGCTTGTCCATTGTATCGTGATAGATACCATATGTTTGCTAAAATTCCTAATCAACAAATAATTATAATAATCATTACATGTTTAATAAATAGCTTCTCATCTTTCATCTTCAATGCTGCTACTCAGATTTTATAAGGTGTTGCATAATGTATAAAGTGATTACAAGACATAGGTATCCCACTAAAGTGCCTCAGAATCATATGACAAGATGAAGCATGCAAACTCCTCATGACAAAAGAATCATACTGCTTATCATTTTCCGCGTGTAGCGGTACATAGACGAGAAATACACATAAATACACGTTCATGTACACTTTGTCGTTAACAGTAAGTATATCAATATATCTAAAGTTTTTTGTTCAATGAATTTTTTTTTATTAAATTTAATAATATTTCACGCATCAAATCACGCAGTTATTAAAATATATTTAGAATGTGATCGTATAAAATATATTCGTTTTCAGTTATAATACAAGTTAAGTTCTATTGGCTTCTTATCGTTTTATATAAAAAAAACATGTGAATGCATAAACATATCGTGATACTAATTTTTGAAGTGATCTAATACAGCGATCGGGACAATCTATGACCCGTAAATCAAACAGTGACCTATTGCATCATAACAATTGATTCATCAACAACTTATTGCTATTTCGTTTTAACAAAAGACCATTGCGAGATTTATCCCTTCAACGTTCCTAATTTTATTAATAATTTTACCTTTACTAATACGTTAGAAAATACCACTGATCCATTTTGTTTCTCAGTTTAATAATTATAAACAAATATATTACCAATGATTTTTGATTAAATGATTTAATTGCCATGCATCTCTTCCTTCAGCTTTATTGTAATTTTAACATAAACATCTTATAGCAAGGACATTGTTCTCACTCTTTACAGTTCTGTAAAAATGAAAAGATTGTAGTTTTGATATGTGGGATGAAATGTACATCGTTCAGATATACTGAAACACTTACTGTTAATAATACTGTTTATATAAACACATATCTATGTATGTTTACATGTGCATGCGTTTTTGTATGTACCACCTGACATGTAAACAGCGCGCGACCAAAGTTAGGCCTCACAAGTCTAATAACCTTTTTCTCGAAAATAAAATCACAGATTGCAAAGTGGTAAAAAACTTTTTCATTTAATGTGTTATGAGGAAATTGCATTTCACGCTATATATACAGTTTAATTACTATACAAGTGTTTATTTGGTCCATAAAATTTTGTTCAGTTTACAGTTCTGAACGTAAGATATTTACTATTTTAGCCAATGAATGCAGCTGAAATGTGGCAACTTGTTCATTCTTGTTATGGAGATGAATTGGGTTTAACGTCGGAAGATGAAGATTACGTTCCACCGATATCACCACCCGATGAAGAGAAATTGTCAACAAGATTATCCGTAGAATCATTCTCTGAGGTACCGTAGAATATAACTGCATTAAGGTAACAATTAGAAATTATAGAATAATTTAATATTTGAGAATCTACGCGCGATATCTCTTTTTCATCAATTTTCATTTTGTATATCCATTGGCCATTTTAAAATAAAGGTAGAAGGTAGTAATGTGGAAAACTTAGGAAGTGGAACAGAACAAGCAATTGAAGCAAAACCAGAAATTCATCGGCCTCGACCAGTCTCTATTCCTGATGCAACAGATCTAAGCGATACAACAGAAAGTGAGGCTGAAAAGCATGGATGTATGTACTGAATATTTTCTTTTTATTAACATAATTTACACTTATAATTACTTTAACGATCTTTCATTTAACTTAACATTTTCTTTAAGTAAACCTTCATTTCTGTAGCATTGTACAATAAATGTAATTAAAGTCATTTCAGTAAAACCCAGCATTCGAAACAGTATAATATGTACTTCACCTCACGAAGGTCGACAAATCAGCAAGGCTGTACTACCTATACATATTGATCACTTATTCACGTTGTTGTTCACAAATTCAAAGTTCTTCTTAGATTTTCAAACTGCACGCAAAACTACTGGTAAGTTAAATAACATAATAAATGGTAATGGAAAAACAAAACAATTTTTATTAAATAAAATATTCTTTATAATATAGTTATTAAATAAATTTAGAAACTTGTGATATTTGATTTTATTCGTATAGATTTAGTTCAGTCAGCATGGATGTACAATGAACAGACAAGTCAGAAAATTAGGAATTTATCATTTACAATAGCACTGTCTCAAGCTATTGGACCAAGAACCTCTCACATTACGGAAACTCAGGTGACTATTAAGCTAATGACTACTATTTAAATGAACATATTATAGTTTCAATAGTTTAAACTATTTTTTAATATTTCTAGATAATGTTACCTTGCAGTAGACCGGGTCATTTGTATAGTATTGATATAGAAAGTGTAAATGCTGGAATCCCGTATGCTGATTCATTTAGTGTGTTAATTCACTATTGTATAACCAGTATTTCCGAAAATGAAACAAGTATTACAATCTATGCTCAAATAAAGTACAAAAAGAATGTATGGGGCTTTGTAAAAGGTAAGCATTTAGTATATCGATCTTTTTATTTGTAAGCAATAGTTAATTATTCTTTACAATAAAAATAGGCGTTATTGAGAAAAATTGTTGGGCTGGAATAGAGGAATATTTTACAAGTTTAATAAAAGCATTAACCATAGAATGCGAAGAGAACATCAGTAGTGGGGGATTAAAAAGAAAAACAAGAAGAAGACGTCGTGTTACAACTGGTATCACTCTACAAACTCATTCCTCAGATCATTCGTCTCCCAATTTACAAAATTCTTTGAACTTACCACGCATTAATGATAACACTGGTACGAAGATTACAATACACCATTATATTACGTCACTTTACTACACCATTGCTAGTTATTAATAATCGTAAGTCGAAAATAATAACATGTGTTTTCAAAATATATAGTATCTGGTGTTCGAGGTGATTCTAATATGATAGTTAGTTCAATGCTTTTGATTGCTGTGTTATGTCTGATGGTAATTAACGGCCTACTATATTATAAACTGTGGGGTTTAGAAGAAGCTGCAGCTTATACAATCATGGACTTACATGTGTTAAAGTGAGTATTACGTAATTACTATTTCGTGTAATACGCACTTGCAGAATATTTAAAATTGTTTCATTTCTAGAAATACTCCAAAGACTGACGAAGATTGGATCCATTTACTGCAACAGCAAGAAAGTTTGCATAACGTAGAAATGAGAAAATGGCAAAGAGTACTACATACTGCTGCACAATTACTTAGACAAGTAAGTCATAAATTGTATCCATGATATTGTTATATTGCATAAATTAACTAAAACTTTTCATTGCATATTAAAGACAGAGGAATCTTTAACGGAGTTACAAATGAGTATTCACCCCACTGCTACAGAAAAAATGTTTTCAGTCTTAAAACCAAGTATAAAAAGTTTTAATTCACGTACAGAACAGCGAAGTCATTCAGAAATATGAGTAAAATGCGTAAAATATTTCGATAAAGTAATCATTGTAATACGCAAACTAAAAAATATTATAGTAAATTTTAAGTTTACTTCATAACAGAAATATTATTAATGATCGTTGTCTGTGCATACAATTTATGATTAGGTACAGAAACGCGCTGTGATGCTTATTCTTTAAACTCCAAGTGCGCAACAACACGCATGTAAAATATTTATTACTTATAGAAAATGTAATTTAAATTTACGTTTAAATTTACTGTTATAAATTTATTGTTTCTATTGTTTTGAATATTTACATTATATTATTGTGTACATTCAGCAACAAAACTATAAGATACTTATAACTTTGTCGATTCTCATACAATTATTCAATCTTTTCCTTAAACGTTAATCAGTCTATTATAAGAAAAAGGTACAATAATACTATAAAACAGAAACTACATTTTGGGAAAAACAAATGGAAAGAATTTATTAACTAACCTGTAAAGATTTATTAATAATATATAACGTCACCTTTATATTTGACGCTTTAGTCATTATTTTTACGAATAGTTTTGTGATTAATTCTTTTTTTTTATATTAGTTTTTAGCGCTTCGATAATACTAATTAAAACCTGCTTGCCATAAGTATAGTTATCATATGCTAACATTTCCCAACCGCTTTCTATAATATTAGAAGATTTGAGGATCGTATAGGTATAGTAATACATTTATTTTTTTTTATAATCGAAAAAATTGATAACCCTTGTGTTAAGAAGCTTAATTACACTTTTGTATTGTTTATATTTTGAATAAATGGATTATCATTTCTGTTTCGAATAAACGAAACTGTACAACGATCTCGTAGAAACTATATTCGAATATTACGTTTATTGCTATTTTTCGATATAAAACAGAAAAAGCAGTCATGCTGTTTAACACCTTTTGCGCATACCATCTAAATTCAAACGTTTTTTATTGCAGAGGATTAACATTGTGTTACTATATTTTCCTTATTATTACGATCTATTAGCAATTGATTTGTTTATATGATTTTTTATAATGCATTGTATATTCTTAATATTTCCTTTAACCTCAATTTTCGTCATAGTGCATCGTGAACTTATTCATATATTGAAATTCTTAGAACTATATAGAATAAGTAAGAAATAATTAAACCACATTGAAAATTCTTTACTAGATATTTCCAATCTTATTAAATGTTTTATAGCTTTGTTGCAGAGTGTATATTTCCTTTTATATGAAGTATTACATTTATTAAATCTTATATTTGTAATGCATACATGCATAATATATGCATGTATACTTGTGTATGTGTATAGGTGATGTATATTAGTATATTGTAAAGGAGAAAAATAAATAATTTTTAAAGCAATACATTTAACAGCAATCTTCGATCTTTTTAAATTCGAAATGTACAATTGTAATTTCCTTGTAACAACTCCTACTATTTTGTCCAACTTAAATGTAATTTTTGTTTAATTGCTCTTCATGTTCCGAAATAGGCTACTAGTATAGAATAACAAATAAAATCTTTGTATTTATAAAACTTGTTTAATTAAGTGAAGATACATATTTTTAACTCATTTATCTTCCGGCTTATTAAATACAAGCGTGTAACCGCATTTGCCACAGTAATGACGATCTTCCATTGCAGCCATGAAAACTCCCGCACCGCATTGTTCCGTAGGACATTCTCTCCTTAGTCGGTGAATTTTTCCATTTTCATCCACCTATGTAATAAAATAACAGTTTTATACGATAATTTTTAAATTTGGAACTCATGGACATAATGATTTTTATACCTTGTAAAATTTGAGCACAGCAAGCTTAACCTTCTTCTTCTTATGTTTAATTTTCTTAGGAGTTGAATAATTCTTCTTCTTGCGTTTCTTAGCTCCACCACGGAGACGCAAGACTAAATGCAAAGTAGACTCTTTCTGAATGTTATAATCTGATAGAGTTCTACCATCCTCCAGTTGTTTACCAGCAAAAATCAATCTTTGCTGGTCCGGTGGAATGCCTGTAATGAGTATTTTTTTTTTTTTAATAAACATTCATAATAAAATATATTTTATGTTGTTACCTTCTTTATCTTGAATTTTAGCTTTAACATTTTCGATGGTGTCCGACGCCTCGACCTCTAGGGTGATGGTCTTCCCAGTAAGTGTTTTTACAAAAATCTGCATGTTGAAGTCAATGGCATAGGCAACTGCAAAAATAAATTAAACAGGAAAATTAACTAGTTTTATACAAACTAAAATCTGGATTACAACAAAAAATCTGTTAATCTACATAATTCACGCTTATTTACACTAAGATGTTTAAGGAAATAATCAAATGAAATATTTGTTCAAATGTAATTTTTATTATAAACGTTTAGTACAATATTGACAATTTATACAAGTAATACAGCATTAATACAGCCATCATTTTCAGGATTATTCGTAACTTGAGCATATTTTCCCCAAACTACTTTTCCAGACTGTGTTACTAAACCTAATTCTGAAATATTTACTTCAATTATTGTTCCTTTAGTAATAACCCCTAAACTTGTATACATGGAGGAGGATGGATTTTTCTTTACTCCAATAATTGGTATGCAGAATGTAGCTTTTAATTCTGGATGAGTTACATGTGCCTTCTTGAAACGTAATGCCATTGGCCTGATGAATCTTTCAAACTTCGGCGGCTTCCTTGTAAAGTTTTCACCAACAAAAGTCACTTTTGTGACCATTCTTTTCCATGATTTACGTTTGGTTTTTCCACTTCTCACTATTTTAAAGACTTCAGATTCTGACTGTGCTTTAACTTTAGGTATTGGAACATCCCATTTACCAACTTTTTCTTTGCGTTTTTGTTTTATCATATTTGATAATACTTTTGCATCTTTTTTAATATCACGATCTAACAAATATACTGGCAATGCTCCATCTGGAACATCATTCGACTTTTGTTTCATTTTCTTTTCCATGTGAGATTTAATTTTCTTTTTCATTTGTATTTTCTCATTGCGTCGTTCCTTATTAAATATTTTTGCTTTTATGCCGCGTAAAGTACGAGCACGTTCTGCGCGTTTATGAGGCTCACGAGCTTCCCTTTTTCTTTTTCTTTCTTCATAGTCTAATCGTCGCCCGTACAGCTTACGATGCCTTTCAATATATTCGTTCTGCGGCATTGTGAATTTTGGTTTTTACTCGTAAAATAAATTATTTCTTCAATGTATAGATTCTGAAAATAAGAAAGTTTTAAAATTTGAACTACAAAAATTAACCAGTTTGTATTTCATTCACTGTAAACTTACCTTATAGAAATTACATAATTTATTTCTAAATCTTAAGTTATAATTAAATTTTATACATATCACAGCTTTGCTTCAGAAGTGACACAAATAAAAATATTTTCTAATTTATAATATATTACTAAAACAAGCAAAGTGAACTCTATCTTCAAGGTAAACAGGATACGACATTAAAAAAAAAATTTAATTATATCCAAAGTTAAAATGTTGAATGGACAGCACTAGTTAAAGAATAATACAACTTTTGGATTTTTTAATTTTTAGTTGTGCCAATTTTTGAACAATGCTGTCACAGAATAAAACATAGTTGTATAAATTCAGATGAAGTAACTATATTTAAATATAGCTGTTTAATCGAATTGTTCTGGTCTTCATTTATTATTTCTATGTACTGAACAGTACACTTGAAATTTCTACTTTGATTAATCTAACTATTATCTTTAAATGAAAGTATGACAATTTAAATACATAAAATAGATCAAAAAGAAATCTTGTTTTAAATAGAAAGCAATGAATAGAAATTAATGTTTATAGGAAAAAGGGATAAAATATAATTTTCATACTAATAAAGATATTATTTTTAAGTTCAATATATCAATAATAATTAGTGATTATTGAAATAACACAAAACATTGCACAATGTGGTACAATACTAATCAGCAGATTTAACATCTGCTCTTTTATAAATAATATCTTTTGTAATTAACATCTTTTGTAAATAAAGTTTTATCACTAGAGTAGTGCGTTTTATTCTGTTCTGTCTAATAACGGAAACCTATGGTAATTCAAATTTTAAAGGTGCCTCCAGCAAGACAATTTTCTTCTTATCTATTTTATACCTCCTTGAAATCCTAAAGATTTTATTCGACTCATCTTTCTTTAAAGTTAATACGAATGAAAATCTAAGTAATAATTTCAAATGTCACTGAATGTACTTCATGTATAAAAATTAAATTACTACATCCATTAAACAGCATATAGTATGAGATGTTTCAAAGTATTAGATGTACCTACCTATGTGTCTTCCTACTTATATCTTTTTATTTTTTTTTATATTCAAACATTACACTTCTGTATTAATTAATATGTATCCAATAACAAAATATTTATCAACTTTGATACTCGTAAATTTCATGTAATTGAACATAAACGAAAACCTTTATTTACATATATTTCAGTATCGAGATATAAGCAAACGGTTATCAAGTGACGAACAATTACTAATGCGTTACATTTGCGTTAAGTATGGTAACACTATGATACTATTATGTGTTAAAAAATGCATAGTAAAAGAACGAGACTTCTCGTAAATTAAACGAATGACATTAAAAATACTTAAATAAGAATAAACACCCTTCTACTCGTTAATGTGATTCTTTTAAAAAATAATATACAAAATTGGATTAAATATAACGTGCCATGCGTTCAGTCTTATTCTGTTCCATAAACAGTGAAACAGAACGACTATGTACGGAACGAAATTCGTAAACGCATTTGCGAAAATTGTAGAATATGAATGAGTAAACAGTACGTCAAAATACACGTTAAATTGAAATAATTTTCAGAAATCTTCAATTTAACCTACCTTCAACTACGCCTCTTCCATGTGAAAAGAAATTAGAAGCTTCGGTTATGCACGAAGATACTGGAAACTCGATAAATGCGAAACACCATCTAGTGTTAGAAAGCTTAAACTATCTGCCATAGAAAGAGATATCATAGATGGTAAAGAGTATGTAAAAAATGAGCATAATTTTGAATTTATTTATATTTGAAAATCCACGATTGGTATCAGAAAATAATTGATTTGAAACAAAATATTAGCTTAAATACTGTAATAATCTAAAATAGATCTTTCTCAGTATTGTTACAATTATGTTGTTTCTTTAGAATAAATATAATTCATATCGTATTGCAAATCAATGGAAAATTAACATATCTTCAGTACTTTTATATTTGTACGGTGAGAATTATGAAACTAATTGTACACTGTAGATTATAGTTTACTTACAGAATTTTCAGTCGTGTGAACTGTTCAAGAATTATGTTAATACTCAATTCGAGCAAATGCTTATAATAGCTCATTGCCTAAGTTGACACAATTTTAAACATTAGAAAACAACATTTTATTTGAAATTTGATCAAAGTATTAGAACACTTGTAATTTTAAGGCAACATTGGTCTGTTCTCATAGACAACGAACAGACGAACGCGTCGGCCAATGCAATGCGTTGCCACCATAATTAAATCGATATTTACTCGATTATACGGCGAGCTATCAACCTTCTCAAGTAAAGTTTCTTCGTCTAACGAATTATTTTGACACATTGAACATCATCTGCGAAAAACGTAACGCTTTGAAATGAGAGAAGAGAAGGAAATTATTACGTTACTGCTGTTACTTTTCACAAATGTTGCACAAAGTGATACCTTTCATACCCCTGTAAATCGAGAGGATCCTTGTATAAATTTGTGTGAGAAAACACCACTATCTTTCGCGAATGTACGTGTTTTAAACAGTACTATTTTTTAGCTGCACATTATAGTTAAGTGATTATTAATAATGTTGCATTTTTAATTACAGAGTAAATACGTTAAATCGTGTTGTCAACGAGGATGTAGATTCTTTAATCTCGTGGACTTGCATAATGGGTTAGAACCAAACAGTTTGAATGGGACTAGAGATGCCTGTGAAGCTTGTGCGTAAAACTTATAATAGTGTTTGTTACAATTATTAAGTTAATATTGTTTAAATAACTAGAGTCTTAGATTAACTATTAGATCACATAAAGTAGAATGTCAATTATTTGAACTAATGAGAAACCAATTTGTTTGGATAATCTATTTCCATTATATACACATAAACAATTTTATTAGTACAAGCTAACAATTTGCATAGGGCTCGTGATGCTACAAACATATATTTCCTTTTGTGTAATGATAATCAACATTCTACTAAAATTTACTCTTTAATATCATTGCTTGATATTAGATAGGAGGTAGAATTATATTATATAAAGTCACATTTATTTTAATGCATTTGAGTAAAGCTAATATTACTTTATTTTGTTATAGCATGCGCAGAGGCATATACATTGCCACAAGGTCGCTACGCATGTAGTACAGGTTGCGATTTTATGGCCAAGCAGCGTGTTTCAGATCTGTTATTGCTCTTTTCTGTTGCTATCTATATAGAGGAAGGAGTAGATTCTAACATACTTTTAATGTCACCTGATATACCTGACAATGATATCTTAAGTGATCCAGGTTTACGAAAGGAGCTTCTTCCACGATGGTGGGACTCGAATGGGTTCAAATTGCCACAGACATACATCAAAACTGTACCATTAGATGCCGGGGTAAGTCTTAATTGTAAATATTTTAAATGATGATGAAAATAAATAAAAACAATACCACGTTTTAAAATTGAAATGTTAACATAAATGTACATTATCGAGAAAGTACAAAATTTATATGTATGATATAATATAATTTTTTGTAAAGTATAGTTTTTTCCTTATAATTTTCAAATACTTAATACATGTAAGATTAGTTTATTAAAAAACTTATCATTCCATCTATTACATGGTAAAAAATAATATAATTTGATATTAATGCAATCAACACATAGACTATGGATTATGGTGTACCATCAGACTATTCTGGAGAAAGTGACCAATCAGCTTCAATACCTGGATCTGATTGGTTTCAATGCGCTTCAAGACATATTGGAGTACCGCACTGGCTTCTTGTCTGTGCTCTTTCAGCAGCAACACTGTCTGCATTTTGGTTATGCGCTTTCGCGGATAAACCAAAGGATGCTAGTAAAGTACTGCTTATTGAAAAGTCTGATATTTCTTCTACAGTTACATTAAATGTACCAGAATTACCATTGCATAAACAACCTCCTCCTAAATATTCTGAGAGTATTGATGTAACAGAAGTTAATATGAAAGTTTAGCTAGGTACTCTAATGACATAACTTTTGAGTGACTCTGGAAACTATGTAAATTTAAGTATTTTATTAGTTTTGAATAGATTATGTTTAAATTATGTATAGTAGTGCTTTATGAATATTGAAATTATTACGAAAAAATTGCACTTTCTGTTTTCATTGAAATTGTTGATAGTTTAAAAATAAGCTTCTAAGATGTATGTAGAGATAAAGATTTAATTAATGTTTCGAGTTGTACAAGGACTAAAATCAAAATAAATTATAAAATAGGTTACAAAATATTTTCTGGGAAAAATGTATGGTAACATATATGCTGGGATTATTTTATACAAAACAATACTGTTTTTTATAACAGGAAATAACAGTTATTATTATTACACTTTTTTTTAATGAAGATTGTGACAAAAATCATCGAAGTAATATTAGCAAAGTGATTTAAAAAAAATGCACAGATGTAAGACTGCATATTATGTACTTTGTTAGCAATTTAACGAGAATCAAAAGCTTTTATATTTATAACAATGTATTATTTTTCTAAACATGATTTAGAAATAGTAAATGAAAGTATTCTAACTTTAAATACTGCACATTCATTTAAATACTCATATGTTGTGTATATTTTTCAGTATACTAAACTTGCATCCACTGTGATTTATACACATTTAAAACGATTTATTTTTAATTGCTTTAATGTTAGTTATAGATTATATTTTTTTTAAACAGATATCATTTTACGCACGGAAATTATGATCTCTTTACTTTTTTTTTTAAATCACATGTTTAGTTGATACAAATATTTTGTGGTGTTCTTCATATTTAATGTTAAAAAATAAATAAAAATAAACACTTTAAAACAATTAATATTAGAAAGATGGTTTATATTTGCAATAGTTATTGACTTAGTTTGTCTTACGTGAAAATATTAATCATTGTTTAAAATTTTCCTTCCATTTCTATGTTACATGCAGAGAAAAATGAAATACTTTAATATGCAAGTACATATAGTACAATATAAGGATGAGAATAGATCTAAAATATTATGTACAATTTTACTTCAGTGGAATTTTGGTATGTGGTATGGTACATGACATAGTAAATGCATAATGAATATTACTATAAATATTGAAGTACAATTTAAGACTTTTCGATACTCTAGCTATATTATACTGAAACGTATAAACTTGATATTTTCTCTCAACATATAAATTGATGTGTAATTATATAATTAGAGTAAGACATTGCTTATAAGTATTAACAAAAGTAGTAATGTCTTTACCTTTGTACTAGTATTAAATGTTCAATTGTTCACGATTTAATGAGATTTAAAATAATGAATCGATTGATTAATTATATAATTACCAAGATTACAAATGGTTTCAAATGAAATTACTTTTACGTTATCGTAATGTTATTATTTCGTAGGTTTACGGAATATGGTCAAATAGATTTTAAATTGGAATAAGTATGAATTGACAGATGAATATAAGTGTTATGAATACAATGTTGTAAGAATATATAAGCTATTGTTACAGATCATCTAATAAAAGTGTCGTCTGTATTTCTAAAGGAATCAAATTATATAAGCAAAGTTTACTTATTGGTTATGTTATAGAAAATGATTTAAAAATTAAATATAATAAAATTTCTCTTTGTAAAGAGTTGTTAAAAATATTCAAAATATGATTCTTGTATGTTATGAAAGTAATAATGGGATTTTTTAATTGAAGGGGGAGTATATTGTAAATACTGATATATTTAATGCATAAGAAAGTATATTTCAAACCAAAGTATCATGTTCCTTACATAGGATATTGACAAGTGTACTGTATTATTAATAAATATTTGTTATCTTGCTGTGTATTGTAAAAAATAAAAAAAAAATGATACAAAGATGTACAAATACTATTTACCGTTTTCCTCATATTCGAATTATTTTATTTAAATAGAACAATTTTTATCACGGGACATGAAGTTAATGTCAACATTTAACAAGTGAGAAAATTAGCACCTTCTGGAAATATTGGTTACAGTTATTAAACAAAAAGTATATTCTACTGCATCGATACAGGAACTTACACTAATGGTAAGCCGTATAAACTATCCAATACAAAAGTACTTTGATAGAAAACAAACAACATGTTTCAGTTTTTAATTATCCTTTTCTTATTTGTCAGTATTTTTAAATTTTGTTATGCTAAGAATGATTTTTTCAATTCAAGATAACTGCGATATGTACAATATGAAAAACTATCTCGAATCAAAAAAATATTCACAATCCTTAAATATAAAAAGAATTTGTCTGTACAATACAATGAGTGCTTAACCTTCTTTAAATATTATCCTAACTTCTTAAATAATTAAACCATTTACAGCCAATAAAGTTTTGGATCATCTCTTCGCACTTGAAGCTTTAGTACATGCCTATATATTTTTAATGCTGGACCTAAAAGCAGATCCAGTCCACTCAAAACATCAGACCGTTTCATCAACAGTAAAGAATGACCATCGATTTCCTGAAACATAGAAAGTTAATAAAAATATTGACATGAATAAAGGAATTTCAAATAAAACAGAAGAAATTGTAAGCACCTGTAGTCTGAACACTTCGGCTTCCTTTGGAAAAAGTCTTGCAAAATACTGATACACTTGTTCAGATGTCCAATCCGAAGCATCAGGTATATTTGGATCAATTCCATCTCTCGGACTATCATCCTCCATTTGATCAGAGGATGCTCTGGCAGGAGAAACTTGAGGACTTAAGACTGGAGGTAAAACAGGTGGATTCGATGGTGTGTCAGGTCTGCTTGTAACCAAACTAATATTCTGATTTATATTTGTTTTATACTGCTTTTGGGTGCAGTCATTACATTGCCACTTTGAATTGGATTTAGGAATTATTATTCGTGGAGTATGGCAGTAATAATGATAAGCTTCATCGCAAGTGAAACACGTCGCGAGTTGACCCTGTTAAATGTGAATAAATTATAATATGGTAACATAAATATAACAATGTATTTGTTCAATATAACTTACAGCATCTGAAGTTTCACAACATATCGTACAACTCTTGCAACGTTCACATTGCCAATTACTTCCTGCCTTTTGGATCATTTCTTCTGGACTATAAATACAGCTTGGATGTGCTATAAATGAAATTTATATTTAAACATGGTAATTTGAAAAATTCATCATATTTTCCTATTAAGATACATACCTCGTACAGTACAATCGCGGCAAGCAACCAAGCTTTCTTGCTTTTCTTTGGCACAAAGACTACATTGTCTACAAGGTCCATCTTTGACAGTTGGTTTGGAAGTATCTTGAGACTCTTGAGACAAAGAAGACTTATTTTGAGAACCCGGCTGTCTTCCACGCTTTCGTTTTACAAGATTATTGTCAGAAGGATCAAACACTTTTTTTGCTCTCTGAAACATGCATGTTTTTGGTTCATTTCGCTAATTGTATATATAAATCTAGTGAAAGTATTCGATACGGTAAATAATGTTTGTCATATGTATAACTGGAGAATTTGGCAAATATGACCAGCATCAAATGTTGAAGGACCCTGATATTTATTTGTGAATTACAGTAAGATTATAATGCTGGTACATACACAAATACAATTGAAAATTCTTGGTGACGTGCCAAGGAAAATATAAGTACTCATGGCAGAGAAGCAGATTTTTTACAAGATAATATATTTAAGTACATATTTTAAAGTATCGTTTTCTTAACTTTAAGAAATTTAAAAAAAAATAACAATTTAATTTGTGATTATAGAAAAATGTTATTCTTTAATACCGGCCATATTCGTTAGATTAACTCGATGACCATTGAAATAAATACCTTTCTCCGAGCGCTACGAAATCCACCAACATTGGCATTAGATGGAGTAGGCGAAGGATTAGTGGAACTCCTTCCCGCATCTTCATCTTCTCGTTCCTCGCTAAGGTGTCCGGACTCTTCCCTCTTTTCTTTTTGCGAATTTGTCTCTTCTTTATTGTCTTTACGATAATCCTCAAATTTGATCTCTATGTCCATAGGATCATCTGTTCGAACGAGTAAGCGCTGTTTACGCTCAGCTTTCGATGACCTTTTGAGGTTATGAGATTGATTATCCGTATTCTTGGCTTCATCTTTCACATCCTCGACGGAAGTCTGCGACGGTTCCTGGGAATCCTGTTCCTTTATGGAATCGTGTTCCACCGACGATTCGGTGTTCTCGTTCCTTCCGACGACTATTTCGAAACATTCCTCTTTTCTAATTTGAGGTTCGAGCTTCGGGCTTGCTTGACGCGAGGACCTCGGCGTGTTCGATCTAGAGTCCGTAATCGTCAAGTTTTCGGTTTCGTCGAAATCGTACAGTCCATCCGTCGTCGAGGAAACGGTTTGCAATTCTTTCCGCCGCGCGTTTCCATTCTCGAGGGTAAATGATTCACGATGCGTTGGTTCGGCGGTGGTTGTCATGTCAGACGTCGCCACCAGCGAGTAATTGCCGTTAGACAAACGCGTCAAATTACCACTAGCCACTTCTTTTCCAAGAAAATCTTCCACCATGCGTCTAGAAGTAGGATTCGAAACACCATCGAGCAGCTGCTCGACCAACCTGTAAGCCGGTACACCTTGATCGAGGTAATCCGGCTCCTCGACAACGAGCTCGGCCACGGCACCCGCCACCATCCCGGAATTCAATTTTTCCTTCACGAAACCCTCCGGCCGATTTTTGTAAAGCTGCAATCGCGACCATTTCGAGGCATTTCTATAACTGGTGTTACCTTTGTAATCAACCTGTATCACCTTTTCCGCTTCGATCAACCGATGCAGATCGGCGATAGTGTCTCGTGCGTCTACAGAAAACTTCCGTAGCAGGTAATTGCAGATACGGTCGGCATCGGGTCGCGCTTTACGTCGACGCAGCTGATCTATCGCTTCCAGGATTTGCTCCTCGTGGAGTATTTGCGTTTCTACTCGGTGTTGCTGCATTATTACGCGTCGATAAAACGTTTTGCGCTGGAACGCGATGCCTCGCGATATATGTCCCCGTAACGTTCGATAGCAACGTTAAATTCGCAGAAACGGTTTCCACTGTGCTTCCTGCACGTTTTTATTGTATACGTACCACGTGATGTCATAACTGACCCGGCAAATTTCTATATTTTCCCGTATTTATCTGCTTCTGGTCATACATCGCTTAATCTTCAGAATTTCGTTAAATCGTTCGTGCAACCGCGAATCTTACCGTGTAAAGCGTATTTCAATCTATTATATTACGTCACATGAGTACCGAAAGCTCTTGATTGCATTTAAAACGACGCGCAGATTCAAAAAGTCGATCATTTTCACCGGTAGAACCTGCTCCTATAGACCCTTTTTTGTATCGAGCGCAGAATCGTGCTTACAGGTAAACAAATTTAAATAATGCGTTACAATAAAAGCGTGTACCGCACAGTTGACTCGTTCCTAATACGACGAATGTGTATCGTCGTCGAAAAGTGGCAACACAATCCGGAGAAACTCGTCAACGTGATGCAATATTATCGATTGCACGGATCGACGAAGTCAATAATGTGCAAAATCTATGGCGCAGTCGGAACGCGCGAAATGTCTGCTTCAACGTTTCGGAGTCAATCACCGAGCCGCAAAGCGATTAAACGCGGCTCGCAAGCGAGCCCACGAATGATCACTTTCTATTGTTCGTTCGCTACCGGGAGAGAATTTCGAATCGCGTACCGCAGCTGCGCCGATCCATTGTTGGACTGAAGCCGAGAGGTGCACGGTGCAACGACGACGACGACGACGACGACGACGACGTTGAGAGGCAATCTGACACAGTCAGGTCGTCCGCCGCTGCTGGATCGAACATCGAACTGCAGCGCGACGCATTTCACACCCTTTGCACGCACTTTCGACGTCGTGATACTTTTTCAGCCCGCGTACGTAACTTCCTTCCGGTAATCGTCTGGCACGATTCAAAATTCGAATAAATCGTTATCGAAATATCGGCGAACCGAACAAAGAGTACCGTGTTCACACTGGCCGCGTACCGTTCGTTCCTTGTCTTTTGTTTCGCTCGTGAAAATGCACCGATCCATGCACCCATAAATAATGCCTGTTTCACGGGGACGAAACGGGATAACCGGGGAATATAATTGCACTACATACGCGCCAAGTGACCATCGAACGTCTATGCCACGCGCCAATCGTCGAATGACGGATACCTCTCCTCTCTCGCCGATCTCTCTTGCCGTACGCAGACAAGTTTTCCACAGTGTTGGATCTCTCTGTTAAGCGCGCTTCGCGACAGGCCACTTCGATACACGCGACCGAACGACGATTCCACGAGTCCACCAGTTCTTGCGAATGTGCATGCCACACGTACGTGTCGCGCTTACGTGAAAATGTATGTGTCCAGGGCTGGCTTTGCGTGTAAACGAACGATACACGGTACTAGGGCGTCTTTAGGGGTGCTTTAATAAGAAAAAAGGAAAAATTTGTTTAATTAATCGAGCAAATACATTTATCGGATTTAAAGTTACCTTTTTCTATATCAACTAATCAGACAAACATCGAGAAAAACATTGACAAGTTATCTAGTTGAAAAGGAGCGAAGTTTGAAAAAAGATTGCGCTCACGCTTGACAGCAGTCTACACAATATTATTACGTAATGAAATGTTTTATCTTGTTGGGTACATATTACTTTAAGATTACAAACTCTGATTCGACTCGTTTTTAGTTTGCAACGTGAGTTAAAAGGAGGCGCCTAAATTGGAGTTACATCGGGCGCTGGTAACTCTAGCGCCGGTCCTATATACGTGCGTATACGTACCACGCGGGATATATCGCCGCCGGTTGCGTTCCCCGTATACGTCCGCGTACGCGTTGACACTGTGCACAGACTGCTCGCGAAATGCTTTCTGGGTCTATCGGCTACCGTGCGCGACGGACACATACAACGGCTCCACGAATGTCGATAAGCTTCGATGATTGTGTCGCACAATAGCCACCGCAGCACATCGCGACACGCGAGACGCGGTCTTCTCCTGAGCCTTGCCTCGGCGCGCGCCAACCTCTTCTTCTTACACTTTCGATTCGCAATTCAGCCGAAAATTCTCGCCGACACGCAACTTGGAAAACTTTAACGCGCGTTTAACCGCTGTTGTTTATCGAACGAACAAAACTCTCTTTCCAATTTCCGATGTCCTTCCAACGTTTTCACGCGTACATATCGTCGTACTCCAATGTAGCGCAACGCGCGAGACGCGCTCTTTTTCTAGAGGCGGCCTCTCGTGCGCGCCGCGCCAGCTCTCTTTGTAGTACAGAACGCCCAAAAAGATCGAACTCCGATGAAACTGTGACGCACTTCACCTCACTGCCATTGTCAGTTCCGACAATTCACGAAAAATCGTTTGCATCGCTGGCGAACGTTCCTCGCAGCCGCTTGTACGAGTTACTTGGACAAAACCGAAGAGCGCCAAGCCGGGTGCGGCTACACGCGAGTGTGGACGGACCGCCGCTGGAGTACGGAACACGCGGAGCGCAGTTTTTGCGGGGACGGGTCCGTCCAGGCACGGCGATACCATTGTTAGCGCCCTGCAAAGAACCGGCTTCTGCGCACCTCTTCCAACGACTTAACCGTTCTCTACTTATAACAGTTTTACTCGATTTCTACGAATGGTAACCATAAGAATATATTCTCATATCGTTTTTCTGCTTAACCAGGTTGAACGGGAACTACAAAATATCTCTCGTAGAGTATTGATTCTTCTTTTGCATGAAAGAAATGGGAATTTTTTTCTCTATCGTTAATATTTGATTACATATTCTGAATGTTTATTTTTTAAAGACTATAGGCTTCAACGTTTGAGCGCCGATTTAACCTTCATGCACGCGGAGTAAAATGCGTGTTTTATAAATTCAAATTAAAAAAAACGGAGTGATCGAAATTTGCTGGTGATTTACACGCGATACGTTACTGTTTGCGTGATTTTAAAAACGACCGTGATGTATCGGCCATTCCCGAGCGCTGCTGTTCTCGTTCCCGGCTGAAAAGCTCCCTTTTGAGCCTGTTTTCAGATAGACGGATCTGACGCAACAGATCGTAAGCAAATTTTACGTTACGTGTCGCACGTGATGAGTTTAAATGATCCTTTTTCTTATTTAAACATTTTGCTAGCAATAATTTTAGCTTTCCACGTTAAATATGTAGATTCATTGTGCCTGTATACAGCAAAGATTTCGAGGACATTCTATAGGTAAATAACATGACAATAACGTATTTAATAGTAAAAAAAAAAACAATATTATACCTATTAACGTATGTACTCTAATTGTTTAATACAACTACAGAAATTTAACTCTTGTGTTTTGCACTCGACACCTGTGCGGAAAACGCTTATAGCTCCGTGATTTTTATGAGTATTGATACAATTTTTACGAGGATGTTATTTCCAACATTACACACTATAAGAAAATAAGGAAAACATCGATTTTATATAATTAATTTATAACAAATATATACTGCCACCCAAAATTTCAAACGGATTATTTTATTGCGAAATACATAAGTATAAAAAACGTAATAGTAAAAAAATACGCAAACTGTAAAGAATCTCACGTTTGTTTAATAGCACAACCATAATCGATTATAAATTAATTTCTTTTGTAGATTAAATATAATTGTTTTCTTTTTCCATTACATTGGTACCAATGCTGTGCCGTCGGAGTTTCGAGATCTGTTAAAAAAAAAATTTTAATTAACCGTTTTATTCAAATTTGCATTTTATTAATAAAATGCGATTTAATATATACCAGATTGATCGGTTTCACTTTGTGAATAATTTTATTACTGTCTCTTAGAGGACTACATTGTGTACTACCATTAGTATTTCTCATGGAAATTGGTGAATTCTTTTGAGAAATCGATCGTTTATGCGACAAACGCTGTGGAGATTTGCACAAACGTTCGTACTGATTAACATCAAACGAAGAATTCAATCTCTTACTCACGGGCGGAGTCTGAGATTTTGGAATGCTAGAATTCACTGGACAACGTTTAGGTGTTGTTCTCTTCGGGGACGGTAGTTTACTAACTCTGAAGCACAAATTAAACTCATTTGTTACAATCGTCTTTTTGTTTGCAAATATAATATTGCACCTTACCTTTTAGAACTATTATTTGTTCCATTACTATCATTAAGATTTACACGCGTAGTTACTGGAGAGATATCGCAAGAAAAGTTTCGCTTCTTTAAACCGTTAGTTATTTGCGATTGTACTTTACAAGTTTTAGAATTCTGAGCATCCGGAGTGGAGGAAGCCACTGGTTTTGAAGACCGTGAATATCTTTTTGTAGTGCATTTGTTTTCTGCGGTACTATGTATTGAATTAGGCGTACTACTAATAATTTTATGGAATTTAGGTGGCGTTGCCGCGTCCGTGATTGGACTTACTTTCTTACTAATACTTTCTACAACATAAAGAGTAAAACATTCGATAAATGATATTTAAACAATATAATTAATGTTACATTTCTTCGTTTAATTGTACCTCTCTTGTGCATACTGCCTATGGGCAGAACAGCTTTCAGTGGACCCTTTTTCTGTGAAATATCCCCACCAATTTTTTTTTTCAATTTAGTTTTAACGGAACTGATCATCGTAGTTTTTTCTTTCTGTAAATCTAATATTGGAACCGTTACTGATCCTATATTTAGAAATAAGCATAGATTAATTATATCCGTGTTACGATTTGTCGATACTAAACGAGCGAAAGATTACCTTTTTCTACGTCTTCCTTGTTGTTATGTGTAATAACTGTTGTACTTGATGTTGAACTAATAAAGCCAGGATCGCTAGGAAAACGTTTTGTAACTTGCTTCAGTTGCGATGCATTTTTGCCCTTAGACATTAACGGACGAGGTAAATTTTTAGTTGGCGGTGTTTGAGATATTGATATACTTCTTCTAATAAAATTCTTACTAACTGGTTGTTTCTACAAAATGATTCGATTGAGTGTATTAATAAAATTATACTTAACAGATTTAATGGATTTCCTTTAATAATTTGCTTACTTTTGATTCTAAATCTAAACTTAATCTGTTGTCTGATTTAGATAAAATTGAAGTACGCGATTTATTTTCGACCTTTATTTTAGATTTCTTTGAAGTATGTTGGATTTTTATTTCATTACTATCATTTTTTATATTTTCATTCGTATCACAGGTATTGGAAGCACAATTTAATACTTTTCCTAAATTTTTAAGTAAATTCAAACTTGAATGTTCTTTCGTCTGTCCAGTTAATAGTTTTCCTAGGTTTGTAAGAAGTTCCATAACAATTTTTTCGTTCTCAAAAGAATTATTATTATCTGTTCTGCAAGAAGAGTCTTTTTTACATATATTTTGAGTATCTAGCTCATTTTCATTATCATTTATTTCTTTTACATTCTTTTGATTATCAACAGAATATTTACTCATATTTGAATCATTCAAATTCATATCTGCACAAATTACTGATCCTTTCACATCGTTTGACAAACTACTATTTAAATTATCCTCCTGACTCTGTTCCATATTATTTTCTGTTACGTTTTTTATTTCTAAACAACTGTTTGATTTTTGTGGACTTTTTGATAAATCATTGGTTGAATTAAGATAAGTAGTCAGTAATTCGGTATTATTCTTCCAATTAATACCTAAAACTGTTTCTAAATTATCTAGTAGTTTATTTGCTTCCATATTGTTCTCTGTTGTAATAAGTTTTTTTAGATCCAATAAAAGTGTTGCAGTTGCAACACGTTTTTCTACTGATATTGGTTCAATAAGTTCCATTTCTAAATCTTTCATATTTGTTTCTCTTTTATTTGAACATGAATCAGTATTATATGAACATTCCACAACTTTTTCATTTGCTGAATTTATAGTATTTATATTAGGAGATGTGGGTAATTCAATTAAATTATCTACTTCGTCATCAAATGCTGGTAATAATTCTAAAGTCCATGATGAATTATTTGTAATAAGATCATCAATGCTTGCTAAATAATAAAATAGATATTATATATATCTTGCTATTAGTAGTTTTGTCTTTTATAATTCTAGTGTAATATTTGTATTCTTTCTAATTAGAAATCTTAGATCAATAACTTTGTTAGATAATATTCATACTAAAAAACGTTAAACATTTAAGAAGTATTAACAGGAAAACAATGTGAGATTGTAACAAATGAAAAATATTAATATTGTGAGCCTACTATATCTTTAAAAAAAATTAATTATGTGTAAGAAAAACTTACATCCAGAACTTGTTTTTACAGCCAAATCTTCAAAAGTTTTTGCAAGGAGTTTTGCTTCGTGAAGTATTGACTTATTCATTTTATTTTCTTCCTGAAAAATGAGCATAAATACATTCATTTAAAATGTAATGCTTTTTTACTAATTTTTCAAGTCATATAAAAAACAAAACTTACAGAAAATACTGAATCTGATGAAACATCTGAAATAGAACTTTTGGATTGCTCTTTACTAGAGCTCATATCTGGCGTAAATATATCAACATCTATGAGTTTATTATTCGTATTACATTCCTCATTTTTTTCCATTACAGCCATACATTCTTTGACATTGTTGGAAGAGATAGATGCGATTTCATTTTTTTCATTTGGAGAATTTTCAAGAACACGAAGTTCTAAAGTTTTAGCCTTTAGTTTATTAAATTGGTCTGTTAAATCAGACATTGAAGAATGAGCTTTGTTTGAAGCATTTGTTATTGAGCACATTGATATCGATGAAACCAAGTTTATTTCTTTATCAAAATCGGTTTGTTCAGTTAATTTCATATTATCTGATTTTTCTGATGAACAACTTTCTAGGAATGTTCTATTAATAGTGCCATCTGATAACATAGTTGATAAATAACTTGTAGAAGAAACAGAGCTTAATCTATTCATTGAAGAAATATTTGATATGCTTGACAATACAGAACCTCTGTCAGAGCGACTATTTAAAAATCCTTCATTCATGAAGTCAGTTGAATGTATACTACTACCACTTTCAGAATTTGTACGTAAAGATTCTATTAGTGATAAATGTTTTAAGTATGATCTTTTCGGAGATACTTCTTCTCCTTGTGAATGAGATCGAAGAAGTTTTGGTACTCTCAAAAATGTGGGAGAAGTTGGCTTTTTATTAATATTAACTTTATCTAATTCCATACATATTAATGTCTTACTTTGTAAAGTAGAGTTTGTTTCCTCTTTATTCAATTCTTTGAATGGTTCAAGTAATGTATCATTCATTATAGACTGATTCAAAATGGACAAATTAGCATCTTGAACATCGATAGTAGATGGATTGTTAGTATTCTCATCATTTAACATATTAGTTTTATTCGAATCAGATACTATGTTTTCATTAACTATTTTATTAGTAGATATAGTTTTCTGATTTAGTTTCCTATTAATTAAAGATTCATCTAATGTCCTGTTCATTTTCAACTTTTGAGAATATCTTTTTTGTTTAAGACTGTCTGTAAAATCAACAGAAGAATTTTTTTTACGTTTTGATCTTAGTGCTTTTTCCAAAGTCACCTCAAAAGGATCATGTTTTTTCTGAATGTATTCTGTAGTTTTGTGTAGTACCATGTCAAAAGGGTTATTTTCTAAGCTATTACGTTTTTCTGTTGCTAAAGACCTTGTTTCATTGGCATGATCATTATAATTATCGTATGCTGTATCTTTAGGAACTGGTATTAAAGGTGATGCAAGTTGAGTGCTCAACAAGCCCTTTGTGTCAGGGCTATTTAAATCTATGAGATCGCACATGTTCACCTTCTTATTTATCGATTATTTCTACGCTCGTTTTCAACAACAACAAGAGAGTCGTCTCAGACAAAATGAAAACTATTCCATAAAAATATGTCAAGATTTCATGGTAATTACTTGTATTATTATTATTTACAAACAATCTAATCACCAATCCTTAATGCACCAGCACTTTCTTAAAGTGCACATAATCCTTTGATGTGTAGTGAACCTTCCTGGATGATTAATTTACGAAAAACATTTGTGATTTGTAAGAAATTAATTATTTTGTATGAGTTCACTTCTCAGTTTCTCACGGACACCAACGTTTACAGTACTACAGATATTTCAAAAATCTCTAATGCACTGCCCTCTAGTGGATACCTGAGAACTTTAAACGTTAAACTGAATTTCTTACAACGTATTTTGAAGTTGTCTTGAAACGAAAAAATAAACAAGTTGGCCAAGGACATATGTAATCATTGATTTGAATTACATTCTTTCTTTTTAGATTCTGAAAGCTCTATATAGATATAAAAGGAAAGTCATCATTAGATAACATTTGTTGACAGTTTATCGATATTATAGAATCAAAATATAGATTCCTTTAAACTTTAGTCCTATCTAAAAAATATAAAAATCTTTGGATACTTTAAATGAAATTTTGTAGGGTTTTATTGGACAAATATTGCATAAATATATAAAATATAGTTTGTAATATTCCTCCAATCTTGTCTAAATGTTATCATGATGTATTTAAAAAATTGCATAAAACGATCATCGAAAAGGTTATTGCAGTTGTTTGAACATTTTTTCGATACATGTCAATATTCCGCGAGAATATACCTACAACATTCTAGTTAATGTTGTGCACCCTATGCGAATGTTTATCGTATACTGAAAAGACCATTTAATAATTTATGTTTCAATTTACACGAATTGAAATTTAAAGTAAGAAGAAATCGCGGATTTCGGAGACTCTATTCTAAGTTCCAGTGAAAGCTACCTTCAAGTTTAACGTGTAAACGTTTTTCTATTGGTTCCCGTTTATGAGGAAGTGATCAGGGATTGGTCGAGAGATAGCGTGTGTAGTCAAACACAACCTATCAGAGCGTCCTCTGGCGTTTAGTAACGCGATATAAAGATGCACGTAAGAAGGTTGCTTCGTTAACGTTGGCGTCATCGCAAACAGTTCTTCCGTTGACCGAGGGTAAGAGGAATTTGGGCTTCGGTAGTTTTTTAACCGCAAAGAGCGTCTCTCACGGACACGGTGTTATTGTGCACCAAGTTGATGATTCGATAGTGCGGAGGCGTGTGATAGTGCAATAAAAGGGATTAAATATCGCGTAAAAATGTCAACGAAAGCGAGTAAGAAGGTCGCATCGGTGACCAGTTCGAGTAGCGGCGTGCAATCACCGCAATTCACGTCAACGCCGATCGGTCAACGGCCAGGAAGTCCTTTGAGTCCGACTCGTTATTCTCGTCTCCAAGAGAAGCAGGATTTACAGAATCTAAATGACCGGTTGGCTTGTTACATCGACAAAGTACGTCATTTGGAATCGGAGAATTCCCGACTTTCGCGGGAGGTTCAGACGAGCCAGGAGACTATCACACGCGAAGTATCCAACATAAAGTCGATGTACGAACATGAATTGTCCGATGCAAGGAAATTACTGGATGACACCGCGAGAGAACGAGCGAAACTCGAGATTGATACCAAGCGGCTATGGGACAGCAACGAAGAACTCAAGTCCAAGTAAATATTTTTCGTCTTGTATATTTGTACAATTATAATGTGTCTTACGACATATTTAATCGATGCAGGCTCGAAGTCGAAGGGATAGGGCCGAGACTGTTACGCCGTTTACGTTTTATTCATTTGTTTAAACGTTTTGTTTTAGTTGTTGGTATATAAGTTATCATACAATTTTATACTTGTACAGTTTTGTGTGCATATTCTACAGAATGTAGTTTATAGTACCTATAAATTTCCATGCTAATGCTACAAAGTAACAAATTTGGGAGGATATAGATTTAGTACTTTTTCTGTTATAAATAAGAAGTTTAACAATAAGATAAGTGGGGGTAATGTAATCAATTTTGCATGTTTGAACAGTTATACATTCTATGCTTGCTTAGATTCTTATGATTACAACATCACTATATTTACACCTTAGGAATGTTATTATGGTTTGATACAATTCTGTGCATACATGCCTAATGAAGTGCACATAATCTTTACTGCATAATCACCCTAATGATTCTGAATATAAAATTATTGTTTATTTACATTTGCTACTAGTTTTAATCATTAAGTATGCTTTGATATATTAATACATTGATATATTAAATATTATATATAATATAATATGTTAAAGCATATCAAGTTTTTCATAATTATAACACTTTGTAGTTTAATTTAAAAAATGTATACATGGTCTTTAAATAACGTTGACTTCTAATTCAGTAAAATCAGAATCACAAACAAAGATACAATTCAAAGGAACTTATTATACTTTTGAGAAATGTCATATGTGAAAGATACTGACACAGGCACACTAGTAGTGGGAGGATTCATTCATAGAATCACAGTGTATGTTTTATCTAGATGAGTTTGTCATACCATCATGCTAATTCCATTTATTTGTATTCTGTTTTAATATAGTTATAAAAATTTCTACAGAAAGTAGATACATTTCATTTATAATGCACATTACACACATACAGAAAATATATTTCATTTATAATGCACATTACACACATACAGAAAATACATTTCGTTTATACTGTACATTACACACATATAGAAAATACATACAGAAAATACATTTCATTTATAATGCACATTACACACATACAGAAAATACATTTCATGCAAATTTCATGTAGTATAACTAGTAATATTAACTTAAAAATAAAAGCTGTACTATTAATAAAAATTAACAATTTCATTAAAAAGATATTGTTCAAATGTTAGTAAAAATATAAAGTACAGTAAAGTTGGATTTATTAATATATGGTTGTGCCCTTGTATCTTGTTTTATATTTATGGACAGGTGTTAGCGTGACATTTTCTCTTCCTCAAGTTTTGTTTACTTAAATAAAATTCTATAGAAAATCTTTATCGGATTTTTGTATGTTGGACTTGTATTGAAAGCTTTGGAATAAATTAGTCGCGCAAGTGGAGGACTCGTTATGGCCGGGAGGGATATCACACAACAGAGATCTACCACCAAATTTTTGAATATTCGGGTGTGCCTAAGTTGAAACGTGACGTTACTACGACCGATTGCGTCACGCTTACTATGCGACGACGGTGATGTCATTTTCCACCGCAAGTATAACCTCGACTGAAAACATTGACCTCCTTTTAGCGAGCGTTGAGCAATCGATAAAAATACGGGTAAAATCCTTAAACAAACTGGAACTACTAGGATCAATGAAACGGAAGAAATTCATGAAAACGCGTAATGGTGAATGCAGACATTCAATTATTTTCATATAAATATTTTTAATTAAACATACATGTATTCGAATTAGCTTTGACCGCGGCATTGCTCACGTTTTAGTGATATTTTTAAATAATCTGAGTTGAAACTATGTTTGGACTTGTATAGAATTTTATCAAAATGCCTTGAGCTTTTCTCAAGCTCTTCGAGTTCTGGCGAAACATTTAGACACACGACTGACTAAAACTTGAGAAAATATGTGTTTAGGCTTCGGTACGATTAAGCAAACCCAGAATTATAAACAAATTTACACAAAAGAACTTATATGTATGTACGATTACATAGAAAAGTACATAAAAGTTATGTTGTTTTGAGTGAAAGGCGCAGCCATAGCATTTTCAGTGAAGCCGCTGTAGGTTCTATAAACAGGGGGACCTCCCGCTTATCTTCTTTTTTTGTTTCACGAAGTCGACATCTCACTAAAACCCGCGGATTCAACTATCTAAAGTTCGAAATGACACGCTCAATATTTTTACCTTTTTTTCTTTAATCATTTCGTCTCTCCTTTGAACTTGTGATAATTATAATTTCGTAAAGTAGTTCGGTTATCAGCTCGATAGCGTTGCATGGAATGACTCGAATGGCAACCTTGCTTTTATAACGATTAAAAAAGGACGTTTCTCGTAAAAGGAGCGGCGTTAACACGCTTGTCCTCGCATGAAAATATAAACTCGAGATTTCTCGAGAGAGAATTTCGTCATACGTCAAATTGATATCCAACTTGTGCATTTTTGTTTAGTATGCGCATACCAAACTTGTACGAAAGTTTGATTATTAATGTTTGAATTTTCACGCTATACTTTCTGCAATGTCGGTTGGAATATTTGTTTAAAAAACACAAATAAATTAGTTTTTTTTTTTTAATTTTAAAATTAAATAACGAAAATGTTGTATTTGCTCTGGAGGATCCATAGGATTAATTTTAAGTTTATTGGTTTTTCAAAGTATACGATTCTTTTGCGACCAGAAGATAGCGTTTCGTTCGAACAACATTAACAGATATCATTGATAAATTATCGATTTACGGAATATTAAAGTAACGGAATTTTAAGGCCGCTCAAGACAGTACGGTAGAAAATAAAATTCTCGATGTGGGTCGTTGCTTGAAATAGAAACACGCGAGCTCACCTCTTCCTCACGGCTGTTGGAATCTCGTAAATGATCGAGATTTTGTTCAAGTATTCCTTTTATATACATTTTAGGGCATTTACAAATGTTCACTTCTCCGAAAATTACATAAAATACTTGGACGGTTTATGTTCATCGGTAATTCTAAAATTAAAGGCACAGCTGAATAAACTACATTTGTTGACAATTTTTTTAATTAATGTTTCGAAAATATGCGCCTTCATGACAATATTCTAATACTTTACAGCATTTATCTATGATATACATAATACAAATGACTGATAATATTCTTGATCTTATATTTAAATAAAATATTTAGTAATTAAAATGTTAATTTTGTAGTATTTGTTCGATCATGATATCTTATGTCGTAACTACATGTATACATTTTTGATTCTCTTAGTAAGGACAACTATAAAGATTTTACTTACTTATAAGTTCATCTCACAGATGAAATTAATTCATTTCAATTATTAAGGTGAATGATTTTTTTCAGGTTAGACAAGAAGCTAATGGACTTGCAAGTTGCTGAAAGAAGTGTGTTGCTATACGAAACTCGCTGCAACGACCTACAATCGCAATACAATCAATCCCAAGCAGAACGTAAAAAACTGATTGATAGAGAACGGGAATTGGAGCAAGAAGTAGACAAACTAAAAGCTTTGTTGGATGATACTCGTAAGCATCTTGCAGACGAAACTTTGCAACGCGTTGT